GCACAGTGAGTCTACAAATGCATCGGGCAATGGCAGCGAAATGTGACGTAACTTCCTCGTCGAATGACCACATCGCTGTAAGGTGGCAGGCTCTGATATGTTGCCGCAGTAATTCCTGATTGGGCTGTTACTATAAAACAAAATTCTCCCAGTTATATTCCAGCAGTACTATTGCCTCATGTAATCAGTTGAACAATGAGCCCCCTTATCCACATACATACTTAGAAATTATACGAATGAGAATAGGTTTTCCCCTTTTTTCTGGCAACAAAACAGGTGTTAAGATGTTAAAACACCAAACTGAAACCTTTAACAAGGAATCATGTCTGCATTAACCACAATGCTTGTGGTCAGAATGCAAGCAAAAACACACTGATAATATATGATGCATTGTCTTTGAAACTGATTGGTCCTCACCAGAGACAGCTTTCTTTTGAGCCTCGTCTCAAACGGTGTTGGACCAGAGGATCTGCCCCCGTTTTGAGACTCGGCTCTCAAGAAAGCTGTATCTGGTGTGGACCAATCAGTTTAAAAGACAATGCATCATATTATCAGTGTTTTTTGTTTGCATTCTGATCACAAGTATTGTGGTTAATGCAGACATGATTCCTTGTAAAGGTTTCAGTTTGGTGTTTTAACATCTTAACACCTGTTTTGTTACCAGAAAAAAGGGGAAAACCTATTCTCATATTTTGGTACTGGCAAAAGAGGTCCCATGAAGATTATACGAATATCAAAATTAATTTGACTCAATGGAAATTGATGCAGTTGTGCAAGCACCAAAAATCCAAACCTAAATAAAAAATAATTTACAATAAACAAACACGTTCAAGAATGGAACAGATAAAGACTCAATAAAGAAAATACCAAAATACACATCAGGGGAGTTAGACAAGGACAAACAATCGTCTAAGTTCTTCATAATGGAATTAGAGGAAGTTTTCCAAAATTGAACTGGAGATCGTCCTACATTTAAGTGGCAATATATTAACTATGTAAAATTTATTAGTGACATAGTTATTACATCCGATGGGAATTAACTACAGGAATTGATACAATTCTTAAGGGAGGCTGTAAAAAACAAAATTAACAAAATTAGAAATTTGCTAAACAATTTAATATTCTTTGGTTCTTTTGGTAAAGTCACGTAGGTGAAAAAATAAAATAAATTAAATCACTTAAATAAAATAAATTAAATCACCTACGTGACTTTACCTAAAGAACCAAAGAATATGGATCCTTGCAGTCACGAAAACTTCAAATCTATAAACAATTGAATATTTATGTCGGACGAACACTACTGGAGAATAAATATTTTATACATCTAGGATAGTTATTAAAGGTGGCCTGGGATCAAAATTATGACCGATGGTTGAGAGCACGTTTCAGTGGTTTTGGAAATTAGCTTAATGAAAATGAACATGCCAATTCGCCCAAAGAATAACATTTATAATGAGTGTACACTGCCTGTTATGACATGGATGAGAAACATCGACAATTACAAAGGAAATGGATCAAGCATGGTGATGCGCATACTTAAAACAACATTGAAAGGCAGAAAGTGACACACGTGGATTAGAAAACGGAGACATCGCATTGACTGTTGTGAAAAGTGATATGGGGAGGACACACCGCTAGAAGGGCTCATGTTCGGTGACCCAAGACGAATGAAAGTGGCAACCAAATGATGGCAGCTTGTGCGTAGGTGCTCAGACGAATTGTTACATCGCAGGACTCGAGAGAGAATGTCGGCAGCTTGGGGTTTATCCAGCAGTGAAAAGATCGCAGCTGGTGGTGATGAACCACCGTGCCACCGCAATACTTTTAATGTCCTTCAAAGACCACGCCACGTGTCGTGCTGTTGCCCCCGAAAAGAGCAGTGCACAGAGCGATGACAAGGCAAGCAAAAATGTAGATTGTCTGGAAGAAAGGGCGCTGAAGTTAGCGTGAAGAATACAGACGTAAGCGGCGAGGGTGCTTTGATGCTTGGTTTTTGTCAACTCTGTCCCTGGATCGTTCGTGTAATCCCTGTTCGATGGCATGCTTGTGATTAAACGAAGCAAGTTAACACAAGGCCTGATCCACAAGTCTCCTCACTCGTTGCATGGCCTGGGGGGCCATCCATAAATGACGTCACGCACCTGGGGGGGGGGGTCAGACATTTATGACGATGTGTGACGAGGGGGGGGAGAAATGTGACGTCACATCAAAATGCACAACTTTAAATAAACGTAGACAACACGTTCTGCTTAATTAAAGACTTTTTAATAAACAACATCAGAGTGCAGCGCCACATTAAATACGCACTACAATGACAATAGTTTAAAGCGATTTGAAGTTTTTTTTTATTTGGGGGGGGGGCAGAGCTTTGTGACGTCATATTTGAGGAGGGGGCAAAAATCGCGTGACGTCATTTATGGCCGGCCCCTTGGTGACATACCATTAAATCCCAACCTTGTCAGAGGTCACCTTAATCTGCGATCTCTCCAGGGTAAAACATGGGAAGTCAACAGTGGATTGTCCTATAGAGATTGACCTGCACCATAGGAATGTGGAGTTTCCACCACTGGATCAGGGCCGCCAATCCAGATGAGCGCGACATCGCACTCGCTAAACAGGGAGACTGACCTTAATTTGAAGAATTAAAAAAATAAGCAGAGTGTTGTGGCAGCCGGATCGATGGTTTTGGGGGGCGGGGTGTTTCGTTGCTTGGGGAGAAGCGGGGGGGGGGGCTTTGTGTGCAAGTGTTTGCAGGTGTTTAGGATTGGATTTGGCTCGTGCCCACCGTGCTAATTCAATGGGGGAAGGGTCCAAGGGTGTGATTGAATAAAAGGCCTCGTCACGGGGAACCAAGGGAAGGGGGGCGTGGTGGATTTCATTTAATTCCGCTCCTCGGCTTGTTCGAGGCGGCTGCTGTGCTGGAGATGGAGACTTAGGCGGGCGGGATTTTATTCCACTACTGATCCACTGAGTGTTCTGTTACAGAGCCGGGTGATGCTTCGGGCGTGCCTTCGGGGCTTCGCTCCGCAGTTTTTCCCTCCCCAGCGTTCGTGGTGAAGTCGGTGGAGGAAGTCTGTGAAGCCGTGGTTGTCAGGTTGTTGGATGACGGTGGTGGTTGTTGCGAGGGTCATTTGGGTTGGTATAGTGGCTTGTGATGCGTGCACTCCTCCGGGGAAGTAGTTGCCCTGTTACCCTTTGTTTGACAAGATTTGTGTAGAGATTGAATTCTAAGTAAACCCGACACATTTGGAATATACCGGCAGGTGGTGGTCTTGATTAGATTCTGCACACGGTCATTTTGGGGCGTCGTGTGAAATGGGGGTCCCATCATAATTTAAATAAGTGACGCTAGCTAGGGTTGCGGGTATAAACTGAAACCTGCTCAAGCATGTCCCAAAAGGACGCACCGTTGCAGGTGTTATAGCGAAGAATGTCTCGTCCAGGACTGGTATATTGTACACCAATAAACACATTCTCCTGCGGAGGGAGCTGGTTGGAACGTTGGGTTGCTCGGTCAATGGCCAGGGTCAACGGCGGCACCACGTGGTGTATTCCGCAAATATGCCCGACTGTGAGGGCGGGCACAAGCCGGCGTGAGTAGGTGAAACGTTGAGTTTTATAAGGGCACCACGGGGTGACCACCCCCTCCCCACCCAGCCCCACCCAGCCCCACCCAGCCCCACCCTCCCCTCTCCACCCAACCCCACCCAGCCCCTCCTTCCCCTCCACCCAGCCCCACCCCTCCCATCTTTGGATGCACGACGGACGGACGGACACAATAATCCCCTGTGGGCTGGTGTAACCAGTATGATGTTCCTACCAGTATGAGATTCCTACCAGTATGAGATTCCTACCGGTATGAGGTTCCTACCGGTATGAGGTTCCTACCGGTATGAGGTTCCTACCGGTATGAGGTTCCTACCGGTATGAGGTTCCTACCGGTATGAGGTTCCTACCGGTATGAGGTTCCTACCGGTATGAGGTTCCTACCGGTAGGAGGTTCCTACCAGTATGAGGTTCCTACCGGTATGAGGTTCCTACTGGTATGAGGTTCCTACCGGTATGAGGTGCATGCAAAACGCTCACCTGTTTCTGTAAAGTGCGAGTTTTCGCCAAGAATACGAGTGGGACGCTCCTGAAAAATTTGGCTATCCTGACCGAATTCACCACATTATCATTGTCTCCCGCCCTAGCTTACAACTATTGTCTACTGTGCCCCGCGATGGTTAAAATAGCATCGCTTTTATGAAATTTTGGAGCCACGATACAATCCCGAGCACCCATCAAGACTCACGTTACCCGCCTCGGTACCTAAAACTGCCAATACAGTACGTAGTTGCAATCCTTAGTCAAGACCCTCATACACAAGAATCATACAAATACAACCAGGTCTCTCTTGAGATGCAAACTCCTTTTGATTTTAAAGTAAAATTAGGTTTTGCACCTGGGTAAAAGAAAACTTGTTTTGTCAAGTCAATGCCCATCCACAGGTCTGCCCCCAGAACCTTCTCTGCACAACGTCCCGTGGCCCTGTGAGATTTGCTTATACAGCACAGTAATGTGTATCATAATTAATAAAACCGGCGAATAGCGGCACTGCAGTGGAAAAAAACTGGCCCTAGCTCGTCATACAAGATAGTGAAGCAACTACGGTCCTCGCCTCAACCAACCCTGTGAAGTTTCTCCCAAACCAATACAGGTTTGAGTGCCATCAAACAGTAAGCAACCTAGCAACCTTACCTGAATTACCATAACGTATCTGTTCTCTGAAATCAACTACAGTACTGTATATGCTTGTCATAGGGTCTATAAGCGCTACATATTAAGTTACTTTCAATGAGTATGCCATAAACCATAGACAAAAGACACGAGGTACAATACTCATGTGGGATTCCAATGCCGACCGTGCATAGCTTCGGCAAAGCGGTCCAGTGTGATCACGTTACAGTTGTTTCACCAAGGATGACTTTTGACACCCATTTTACGACGACATGCATATATTAATTTTGAGTTTTTAATAATGAATGCACAACACACGTCAGCGATTCATTAAACAATGTGTCATAAAAGCAAATCAAGACCCCTATCCCCGGTCTGTGGCAACAGTTTACTAGTGCCACATTCCCTTTATCGGCCTCAGTGTCAGCCTGAACAGTATCTGTTTGGCTGTCTCAATGTCACTAAACAGCGTTACAGCTGGTACACATTTCGTTGATGAAAACAAAAGCTTGTGGAGGCGTGTGCCTATAACATAGCTATTTAAAGGCAGACTTATTGGGTCATGCAGATATTACGTGCTGCAAGGCTCCCAAATTCACACAGCTGCCATCTCCTGTCTACCTGTGCAGAGGTCAGGCGGTAACAGTACAGCAAGTGGGTTCAAAACGTTAGTGTTATCCAAATATATGTATGGGTTTTCTCTAGTAACCTCCGTTTTCTCCTACATACAAAATCCTCGAAAATAAATTGACTAAACATGTCAACGCAGGTCCCTGAATGCTTTGTTTATATTGACAAGACTGCACAGGAAATTAACTGGAGGAAACTCAACAGATAAAAATGTGTAATTTAAAATGTAGCAGCTGATCAGAAAGGAACAATGTTAATTTTAAAACAACTGTCAGACATGTCAAATGTTAAACAATTATGTAATGATTACAGGAATTAAATGTCACCAATACTGTACTCTGGATTGTTACTCAGAGGGATTAATTCTGAATCATTCGTTCTCACTTGAAGACCCATGACAAACTGTGTGAGATGCTCACCTGCTGAGTCTGCAGGTGGTTGGGCTGCACATCGTGATTTCTCAAAGGCTTCCTTTTGAGTTTTTCACACGCTTGTGGGTTTCAAACGGCGCAACTCAAAGCTTCAAAATAAAACTCCATATTTTTTTTGCATCTAAGCGGCATCCATTTTTTTATGAGCTCACAAACATAGATACAAAGACCAATACGACAGAAGAGCACTGCTAAGGGACATAAAAAATTGGAAAACAGGTGGGCATCTTGACAAAATGGTGACCATCTTTGATTAGAAGGCGATCAAATGTTATGCTTGTATCATCATTTCAACGACTGTTTTCTGCTCCACTAATCAGGCTGTTGTGAATACACGTGCCCACATACAATGCACTATGGGATTTCCCCCTATGACACAGTAATTCTAACTCGTTTTTCAGTTGTGGAGTAGACGTTATGATTGCTCTGGACTAATAGTCAATGAGCCAAGGTCAAAATTTTACTCGTCGGTACCACCTGAAAATGAAACGCGTATGTTGCACCATGATCTTTTAATCGCAAATAAAAGTAAATTATTGAACGACCGTATAGTAAGTACGTAATCAGATAAGCCATTTACAGAAACAGTTATCACTAAATATTTGCCACTTAAAAGTGTTACCAAATTATGTTCCGGCCCATGGACTAGAAGTGGTCTCTGATGCTTTTGACAAAATCTGAAACAGACACTGTGCAGATTGGTGTGATGAGCACAAAATCAACCCAGGATATTTAAAGAATCCCTAATGAGAACACTTTTACAGGCACTTTGTCACCTTAGTAAGTCTCGTCAACCCTTTTATTTCAAATGTAATTATACGGCATTGCCCTCCTCCATATCGCTCCCCTCTCCCCAAGAAAAGTGCCACTGGTGCCACTTTCCATTAGCACAGGGAAAGCTCAGTGGGCGTCGCTTCTAATTATGGGCTCATAATTGCAAATAATTCACATCCAAAACAGGGTCAACACAGGGTCAAGACTTCTACCACCACCATATTTCCTTTGGGGTCAGTAAAATGAGCACTACCTGTTGAGACAGCTCTATTTGGTATAAGCCCAACAATAGGCTGTTGTGTTACTTAGACTGCTCCCTGCCAGTGATATGTATTTTCAAGAATTGGTTCTGGAGCCTCGAGAGATGAGAAACTCTTAGTGTTCATTCGGAGTGTGAGGACACTGACCTCTCATCACTATACTCATGACAAATATTTCACTACAATGCAAATTTTACTTTTTGTTGTCTAATCTGTGGTTTCATTTGGTTGTAATCACCCTGTTGACGATTATTCACAGGAAGGCCTCATACAAATCCAGGTCCAAAGGTCGGAAAAGCAACCACTGTTCTCATACACGCACGTGTCTGTGCAATGGCTTCGTAATGAAGATGAACTAAACCATCCCAAAAGAATAAGTAACTCATTCAGAATGGACTCAATCCAAATGATGAACTTGGCGCTGTACTGATCAGCTGGGTAGCACAAACATGAAGTTGCAAGATATAATTCCAGAGGTCAACTCAGCCTTTCTTTCATCACTGCAAGGTCAATAACCTTGATGCCCCCCGTGTGAATTCACCAGTGGTTGTCCAAAGGACCAACCTGTCCATGCCATAGGAATATGGAGTTTCCAACACATGCCTATAAACAGATGGAACTGTTTCATACTTGCGTAGGAAACCTTCAATTGCTTCACTTTTGAGGGCTGTAATTCCATTTCTGTAAAACCCCGAAAACATATTTAACTCATGTTTTGACTAATAAAGCACTTGTTATTGCATCCTCAAATTTCTTCCATCTTAAGCATAAAATAAACGGAGAGAAAACTAGCTAGACACCATGGTTTTTAGTAGTAGTAGCTGTGGGCAGAACATGACAGAACTATAGAGGGAATGGAAAAGTCCATGGTCCGACATACTATATAAAGATTGATGCCACAACAAAGCATATTCAATTAAAAGCACATATCTAAAGATTATGAAATCCATGCCATTTATTAACCCATGTTTAGTTGTTTGTAATTACCTTGCGTGTTTTACGTGCCATTTGTAGAAATCTGAATACAGAACTCTGTAACAAACCCAAACTCGCCAGTCTAGGCTGCCAATCGCACCCACATCTTTATGTTAATCTTAGTAATGTCTGTTGCGAGAAAGTGGTATAATAAGGAAGGCAAATGCAACATTTTCATGACCACTGGCAAGGAGGCTCGGGAGACCAGGAACAGCCGGTTACATCCCTATTACATTCCAAGATCGGTACCACGACCCACATCCATCCCCATGAGCCACAAGGCTGTGGGCTTAGTCCCTCCCACTGTCCCCTGCCACCTCCTCCTGTCTGCCCTCCACTGGCAGAGAACGGTGCTCAGGAAGTGATCTTAAACATGTAAAATATATTTTTTATATTTAATGCATTTTTCAGTTAGGTTAGGCTACTGTAATCTAAAATCTATAATTCATTTAATCTTCAATTTTTTTTTTAATCCAAAGACGAATGCGGATTTCATTGTATACGACCTCACCGACAGTACTTCCCATTCCTGCATCATCACAGCAACGTCACGACTGATTGCTCATTCAAGAGCCTGTTGCTCCAATATGAAACCGAGGTCATAAATCTATCTACCTAGTCCTATTATCAAACTCTCTTCAGTGAACATTTGCTCTAGTAAGACTTCCGTGGGAGCATGGACCAAGTCAGAATGCCATCTGGAAGTCAACACCCTTTCCACTGGTCATGAAATGGCAGAAAGTTATTAATCAAGTAACATTACAAGGTTGATAATTTATTGTTTGGCCACAGGTTTTTTTCATTAACTTTAGAACTTACGATGTCTCTTCAACAAGCTCCTCTTGCCACAACCTGTGGCAACGCAATCGCACACTCTGCGAGTGGTTCCCTTTGTCATTCAATGCAAGTTTACGTATTTTACAACTCTCTGGGTTGGGCAAAACATTTAATTACGCACATTTAAATCACGTAATTTTTGTGCAGTTATTGGTGGTTGGATGGAACCAACGTCTGAAGTTGGTTCTGTGTTTCGGCTTGAACGGCGTACTGTGTTATGCCATCTTAAGTTGTACTCCACGTACTGAGAGTTTCTTCAAGAATAGAAGCTCTAAGAGAAGCTCCCAGCATGTACAGCAAATCATCGGACGTCGTGCCAAACACCACATGGTACAACCCGAAAACACATCAGAGAGCTATATAGAACAATCACAAAAATCTTCAAAAGGGTTCACCCTTCGGGCAGGTTGGAAACTGGAATTCAAACCCAGTGATGTTGACCGACTGCTCCAACACACCTTAAGCTTCACTTAGCCACCTCTGAATACCAGCCTTGATGCAGAACTTCAATGAACGTTATCCTATTCTGCAGAATTCACAGCAGCCGTTCATAACAAAATGAAACTATTAAAAAGCAAACGCATTCATACATACATGTGCATGCAAGTGTGTGTACTGGTGCATACGTGCATGTCCAACGCTATGCATCCTAATAAACTTAACCATATCCAAAATTGTGATGGCCTAATTATATAATGCACTCAAAAAGGTGAGGTACATTTCCTGATTCCGCAAAAAATATCTGCTCAATATGGAGGTAATTCTAATAAGCGATTGAGTGACGCTATGATGTCTGGGTGATATACGCGCATCTACACGACCAGACATCATCTGTGCTGTTTGCTCTTTAATGCCACTTTGCATATGATACATAAAGCATTGTCAGATATTGCCAACATAAGCATGTGTTACGGCATTTGAACTAAGACAATGTCATTCCCCATTATATAGGCATGGTCCCTGACAAGAAAAATGGCCTTATTTTGACTCTCACTAGCTGGTTTATGAGCTCCAGCAATTAAGCATTTAATAGAGACCTGTGCTAAAGCAGCAATACACTTAAACACATGGTTGTGTCCGCAACTGTAGTGAAGTTCCTGATTAACTGTATTAAATGTGCACTGTTTGGCAGGAGCCGGCTGAAAGTCTAGGGGAATAGCAGAGGCCAAAGGGTGAAGATGGGTGGATAAGAAGTGTTGTTTCAGCCATAAATGACAGTGGGTGATATATAAGTATTACAGATGAAATTTCTACAATTGCAGTTTCTCAGAATTATGATGAAGCTTTGGGGGGCTTCCAGTTTCTGGGACTTGTGTCAGATATTAATGTTGATAGAATTGGTGGGAGATCAGTGGACTTAAAATAAAAAAAAATGTAAGGAATGTTAATATATAAATGAACCAATGATAGAGGGTTTTAATTGGAGTTCAACTGAATTTGGGATATTACATTTTTCAAACAATTGCATGGCATTTCTAATGGAATTTTTGAAATGTGTACCAACTCAAAGCAACCTTTTGATTTATTAGAAATTAAATATTTGACACTTACTTAATGTGAATTATACTTTGAAAATAAGAAAAAGCAGATTTAAACTAGAAGTCATGGGGATAGAGGCCAGGAATGCTTGAGTGTGTAGAGCCGGTTTCAGACGAATAACTCACTGCCATTTATTTTACTCGGGGGACCTATGGCTGGCTGCATAAATCAACTCATGAGCCCTAAGTTTCCTATCTAAATCCGTGTAAACTAAGAGAAATGCTACCTTCATGTGTTATGCAACCATCCAACGGACTAGGAGTGAGTGTCCCCACAGTCATGTGTTTAGTGTGGGCAGAGGCAGGCAAGGCTGGCTGGTGCGGCTGGCTGGTGGTAGAGATGAGGATGGAAGGCCCAGGTGCCCTGGGTCCTAGATGGGGTGGCCAGACCAGGTCTCGTGCTTGGACCCCGGTGCCAGGTGAATGATGCTGACTTCAACTGCCTGATGCTTCTCCATCTTGGGTGGGATGCAGCATAGCTTGTAGCACACTTCGTCGCCCTCCACCGGCACATACTCGCCCTCCACACTGCGAGGTACACAGGGTATGAGAAGACACGGACGCACAGATACGTGAACGCGGGGGGGAAGCATGGGCGTGCGTCCGTAGGATATGTGGATCCACGGGTATGTGAAGACGCAGTACAGAAATATGCAAATATATCGGTGTGTGGAGATGCAAGTGTGTGTAACTGGGGATGCATGGATACACGTACACAGTTACAGGAACACGAGGGCATGAGCACAGAGAGCTGGGATCACGCACAAGCATGCAAGCCAAAACATGAGCAGGGGTAACAACAAATGCTTCCCAAGAGGTAGGATGAGGGTCACCTGTGAATAACTCACAGGTTTCAGTGAGTCACAGTCACTTTCCATCACTTTCATATCTTTAAAAATCACACGCACCAAAGACCTCAACACCCACGCACCCACGCATGCACACCAACAAGCACAGGAAAAAGGCATGAGTGCACAAATGAATGCATATACACACAAGTGAAATACAAAAATGCCTTTGAGATTACACAGTTTATTTTTGTAAAGACTGTAGTGAAAGCCGAGTATGTTGTGGTATGTATGGCATATGCCATTCACAACTGGCAGCCTTCGTATCCCGCGTGCTGAATGCTGTATATAAATGCTCATTATGGGCTGAGATGAGTTCAAATTTGCCCAGATCAGGTTCAGATACACATTGTCAAGGGGAATGAGCTTAATGAGAGGTAATGGAACCCAGACCACTGGGATCATAAAATCACTATAAAAGCCACTACAAAGATCCCATGTTTAGCAAGTACCGTTAGTGAGCACCTATTTAAGAAGGCTAGGCCTTCTGAGGGGAGGCATGGCCAGCACCACACATGGCCACCTTTGAATCCTCATTTAAGGCGGAGTCAACCTAGGGGTTTCCTAGGACAGGCCGAGATGCAACTTGTCACTTAGGAACAGCGATGACTTAAACCATGGCCACCAAATGTACAGTGCGCGAACTACTGCACCGCCACACCCCACACACAGCAACACAATACAGACTGCTGGGGCTGTCGGTGAGTCCCTATCAAGGCCAGCATGGCACAAGTTGTGGTTGTGTGGCGGGCAGCATGCTCGGCTGCTTTTGTCTCCCCAGTGATGATGTTGACACACTGCTCTAAGTACTCATCTAAGGCAGTTAACCTTGGGGAGAAACCAGGAAAAAATCATATACCACTCTTTTTACTGTTGTTGTACATGACAAAGAATCAAACCTGTATCACCATAATTGTAGCAAAGCACGCAAACCACTACTCCACCAACCCCCCCACAAACAAAGCTGCACCCACATGCACGTCTTTGTCCTTGGGAAGCAAATGGCAGGAACCCCGAGTGACCTTCATCAGCAAAGACCACCGATGCGAGACAGCTCACAAGGTGTATTTCACAATGTTACATAATAGCACCCACACACCCACCACCTTCCTCTGCCCTTGTAGACCTAGTACCAGCATAACACAGCTCCCACACTCTTAGACATACAGAGACCGATGTCTCCCTTGACATTGGTCTACATGGGCTCTTACCTCGTTATATAATACTTACACACACATAGCACACACACACACACGTGCATACATGCAGACGTGCATGCATATATACAAAAACAAAGCTTCCTTGCATAGCCTTATCAGACTGTTGGGGCAAGTGCTGTTTCGCGAGCACCTATGAAGGCTGGCACAGAATGCACAGGGACGGGTGGCCAGCACCACACCCGCCTTTGCCTCCCCAGTGGCGGCGTTTTTTCATACACTGCACCAGGCACTCATTTGAGGCTGAGTTGACCTAGGGGAGAAGGCCCAGGACCGTTTCAGAAAATCGTCACTGGTGTTGGCCGTGAGCGGAAATGGAACTCAGGTCGCCGGGTTTGTAGCGCAGTGTGCTACACGCTACACTACCGCTCCTCCCCACACGTACACACACAGCAAAACACGTACATGCATTGTAATGACAGGGTGCCACCTGTCGGCCAGGAGGGGTAATCACAGGTATGGGCGCATTATAAAATGACCAACTAGAAGGGGGGCGTGTCTGGGTTAAAGGTAAAAGGCGGGGTCAGTCGGCAAGCTCCGGGAACCTGCTCGAAGGTTCTAGAAAGAGGCGGGGCCTGGCCACGCCGGAAAGTATATAGGGGGGACGTAACCGAAGGTTCAAAGCTGTCGCGGGGTCCCGGGTCCTGGCTGCGTCGCTGCTCGCCGTCATCTCTCTTCGTCGTCCGGCCGCATGGCCGATCCTCTGCACAGCTCCCATCGTCGTTATCACTACCTTAGTCAGCCAGCTATGTAATTAGATGCCGACGATGGGGCTGTGTAGAGAGGTCGGCTGTGTGTAGCTACGTAGATACGTTTATATCGCCCAGTGTTTGTGCCCAAGTGTGAGAATTAAATACGAAGCCCTCTACACGTTGTGTCTCGGAAGTTGCTCATTACACATGCATGAAAACATGTGCAAACGTGTTTTAACATGCTCACAAGTACACTCAGACGTGTACACACTGACACACACGAGCTGACAGAATCAGGGGTGGAGCCACAGGGGGGGCTGGGGGGGGGGGTTCAGCCCCCCCTGAAATTTTGGGAAAGTCGCTAATCGGGATAACCGGATATCCGGCTGCTGCAAAATGCTGCAGGCTGCCACTTTGTGCTGCCCTGCAGGCTGCCACTTTGTGCTGCCCTGCAGGCTGCCACCTTGTGCTGCCCTGCAGGTTGCCACCTTGTGCTGCCCTGCAGGCTGCCACCTTGTGCTGCCCTGCAGGCTGCCACCTTGTGCTGCCCTGCAGGCTGCCACCTTGTGCTGCCCTGCGGGCTGCTTGAGCGGCAGCCTTTCGAACTTATCGAACTTATTAGCCACATCAGCGGCTCCGACCTATGAATAAACTCCGCGTTCAAATCCAATAAAATTTGTTTTATACATTTGTGGCGCCCATTGGAAAACATAAACACTGGATATCTCAGAATATTTAAGTCAGCCCCCCCCAAAGACGAAATCCTGGCTCCGCCCCTGGACAGAATACATCCTCTATAGTTACAATAAATGCCTCTGATGGTGATGGTGGTGACACCACACAAAGATTCCTAATTTAGCCTGCACAAAATGTTGGGGCCAGTGTTGTTCATGAGTACCTACAAATGCCCACAGGTTGCACTCAGAAGTGGTGCTATTTATGAATTCAGTGCACAATTACACCAGGTAATGAATTGAATTCTGAGGGGTGTTTGTGATGGTTCAAATTGTTACTGTAAATGGTTCTTGTTGTTCAGTCAGGAATTTAAACTATGTCATTGGGGATCATAGCACTAGCACTCACACAGACACTTGCATGCACACATACATGCACACATACATGCACACATACATACACACGAAACAAAGATCCCACATTTAGCCCTACAGACGGTACTGATGCTTACCCACTGCAATTTATTACTGCACCAGGTAATAAATTAAGGCTGAGTCGACCTAGAAAAGGCCCAGGAACTATTTGGATATCATTCACCACTGAAGCTAGTCCTGGCCAGAAATTGTTCATAACGAAGTACGCCAACCACTATTGTACACTACTGTCCCCACAAACACACACTCACCCATGCACAAATCCACAAACGTTTTCGGCACAAGGACAAATTTGAAGTCTTTGGCATCCTACTCCAAGGATGTGACTCTTTATCTAATTAATTAATGTCCCTTCCTTACAATGGAGAGCGCCCAGTGAGGTGACTCACACTGTAACCCGGTGACGTGAGCACAGAGGTTTTGTAAGAAAATTTTAAATCGCTGGCTTGTGCAGGCAACCGAGCCGCACAGCCTGTCCCAGGCCGGTGACGTGTCGGGTACACACATGTGAATGAGATTCGTCACTTGGTTGTATTCATTCATGGGATCCCTGGTCAGATTCTTTCAACCTGCGAATCCTGCTGAACACCTGCCACAGAGTCACATGGTTGTGGTGGTTGCATTCAGTCAAATGGTTGAGCTCACGTGAGTACGTTCAATAACGTGGTTGTGCCGAGTCACCCGGTTAGGTTTTGTGCATGCAACCTCATTTGATGATGCGGATGCATATGGTTACGTGGTTGGGGAGAGGTAAGGTCGCGGTCATCGCGCTGCGCGACGAACATGGCTATCCGTGTTCGATTCCCGCTTACGACCAAAACCAGTGACAATTATCTGAACCGGTCCTGGGCCTCCCCTAGGTCGACTCAGCCTCAAATGAGCACCTTGTGCGGTGTCTAAACATCGCCACTGGGGAGACAAAGGCGGCCGGGCGTGGCGCTGGCCACCCACCCCCTTCGTGTGCCGTGTCGGCCTTCATAGGTGCTCGCTAACAGCACTTGCCCCAACAGTCTGTTGTTAAGGCTATACAGGGGGATCTTTGTCTTTGTGTTTGGTGAGTTGGTTGTGCTGAGTTTACGTGGTTGCGTTTCGTGCAGGTGGCTCACTCTGAGATGTGCACATAGATGTCGGCGCCGCCCCCCTCGGGGGTGATGAAGCCGTGACCTTTGGAGCGGCAAAAGAATTTACAGACTCCCCGGTACGACGGGCCGGCTGCCGCTCTCGCCGCTCTGCAAACAACGTGCACATCCACAGAATGAGTGGCACTTTATGGTCAAAAGCATGTTCTTGTCAAGAGAAATAACAATTTCTGAGCAAGAGACTGTCAATTTTCTTACAGGTGGTTGAAATAAGCTCATGTGTGCATTAACTAGAAAACTGAGATAATTACTCAATGAAAACCACAAACCAAGACGTGGCTAATAGTCCACAGGTTGTCATCGACTATGTTAAAACAATGACTATAAACCAAAACAAAATTCGGATTAAATTAACACTGTGCATGTTACACACACCACTAGAACCATCACCACGCAACCCTGTCACAGCGGTCACCGCCCACTGTCCATGTGTGTGTATGCACACTCACGCGGAGTACGTGCGAGATCGGCGCGTGGGCAGTGGGCTGGGCAGCAGGAAGTCTCTCTTCGGGGAGAGTGGCGAGATGGAGGAGAGCGAGGTGGGGACGTCCCCAGGCCCCGTGGGGCTGTGCGGGGCACGGCGGGGCGACGAGCCCGTCTCGCTCGCGGGAGGTGCTGACATGGTCTGGGGTCTGGTACCACGTGGGAGGGGGGAAGTCACAGCCTGCAACAGAAGAAAGGAGCAGTGTGTTGAAGTATCGGCGGTCAAACAATCCAAGTACGGTGCGAGGCAAATATATCCAGCCGCAGAGATGACAAAGTAGAAACACGTCTGCATGTGTTTACCAGGACAATATACACTCACATTCTTACTGAACCCAAAGGCGAGTGTCTCTTAATCCCAGAGACCGCAGGGGAGGGTGCGTCTCCTGGTTGTGTACTGTAGTGGGGTTTTGTTTACCCATGGAAGCAAGTATTAATTGGGCGGCAGGCAGTCCGAGCAAGGGTAATGGGTTTAATCGTGCTTTAACGACTAAGTCGGCATTTGTATTTCAAGCAGGGATTACATTTAGGATTCCATTTTTAACATGTTGAATACAATAATTAATCAAATGCTACAAAATCATACAAAGATAGCTATATTGCCGAATGACATGCAGTACTGCCAAATAAGTCCATCAGTTTTTAAGCCACTCATATTTACAAAAGTATTTTCATGAAAAGTGAAAATTTGTGAAGTCCACACATTTTTGTGGCATTCAAAATACATTTTAAATCCAAAAATTAACTACAATTTGTATTTACTTTATAACAAAAAAAGAGTTCAGTAATATCCCCTCACACCCCCCCCTCCAAAGACAAAATTTAAAACAATTTAACTTGATCACTATTTGTATTAAGTCAAAACTATTTTTCCACATGCTCAATGAGTATGGGTGCAGATTATTACAATAGTCAGTATCTGGTCAATATATAAAGAAATATATATATATTAATAAATATATAAAGAAATAATCAAAAAATGTTTCCTATGAGTGGAAGACCTTGGGATTGGTAAACATCATCAGCTAACGCTCAATACAAATCCAATCAATGTTCAAACTGTCCTTTCACACAATATGAATTATAAATTAATCAGCCATAATCAATCCATTACTGGATAAAGGCTTCCCAAAGCAGTCATCATCTCTCACGGATCTGCGATATGGCAACAGCATACAAGCCGATTTCATTTCTCGATCTGCGCAATGGATGTCAAGGATGCGTTGGCTCCATTGAATGCCACTCTTTCACTTGACTTGACCACCCGAATGACAAATTACCATATGGAATTTGATATTGAACAATTGAAATGCTATATTGCCCAATATTTTTCCAACAGATCTTGCAATGTGCAAAATCTATTAAGTACTACTTTTTAAAAATAAAAAAAAACAATCACAGATAGGCATCTGTGTGTTAAATTGCAAATGTCTCCTATTTGGCTGGAAAGAGGTTGCTTATGGTGGATATCATTGTGGCATATACTAGAGAATATACTTGCTGATGATCGATACCAATGGGTTCAAGATCAACATTTGTGGAGGTTGCTGTGAAATAGTTTTGTAGTGACTGATCGTCACCGTGTGGTGCCGGCCTTACGAAGCCACGGCGTATAATGTGTTTACATTACGTGTAGCCCGCTTACGGGGCATTGTACCAGCCCTAGCGGGGCTTGGGTGAGCGCTGGCCAGCGCGGAGGCACCGCGAGCAGTGTGCGGTGCGGGCTCCCGGTGAGGGAGCGAGAGGGAGCCTCAGCCAGCCAGGGTTACGTTGGGGTATGATACGCTGGTTGACCTGCTGACACGTGACCGGATGATATTGGAGGGGGGCCACCGGTGGACGGGGGCCGCTGGGCGGTCACGTGGTCTAAAAGAGCTCACGGGAGCCTTCAAGAAAGAGCTCGAGAGATCTGGAAGGTGGGCGGGGCAAAGGGCGGAGCCAGCCCCAGCCCAGGGGGATATAACGGGCACCCCGTGAGGAGCTCGAGGTTCTTTGTGTGAAGAAGAGCCACACCGGGAAAAAGAAGCCTCTAGCCACGCGGACCGGGACCCAGCTTGTGGTCCGGGCCGGGATAGCGAACCGTGCCTAGTTCTGCCGTAGCGTGGTTAGATGGCCATTCGATACCCGAGTGTAGATTGTGCAACGTTATGTTGAAGTTGCTAAATAAATAGTGTTGCTCCCAAGGCAACGTCTGCGACTCAGTTGGACTCACTACAATCTGACTGTGCAGGTGACGACAACCATCTTCCAGCAATATTAAGTGAAAGAGCAATGCTCACAACAATGAGCAAAGTCAGGCGAGAAATCACACTATATTGAGGGCAGGTAGAGCATGTGTCAGTCACATCAGTCTGTTCATCAATAACATGGATTTTCCAGCAAGAGGAACCTTTGCAACACGTGCTAGCCTGGCACAAGCGCTATGGTGACATCTCCGCTGTTGTGTGTCGGAGTGTAAAGCTGTTTTTCCAAGGGGACATTGAGACTGTCGCTTTGTGGCAGGGGGGGGGGGGGATCGTGCAATGGGGAGAATGCATTTGGGGTTGGATCACGCGGGTCAAACTCCACACAAACACCAAATATGTCCCAGAGCCAGACACGTTGTACAAACACACGCCGAGCACCACGCTGCTGCTTCGTGCACAAAAACATTTATTTCTAAGACTTTCTTTTTTGTTGTTGTCCGAGCTCTATATATTCGTTAAAGTGAATGTTACATAACTGTATATAATGTATGTAAAAACTAATTACGGAAAAATAATTTCTCCATATATATACAAACATGGAGTGGAGTGGTGCAGTAGTGGTTTGTGCAATGTTATGAAACCAGTGACCCGAGTTTGATTCCTGGCCACAGCTAACTTCAATGGAGAGTGAAATCTAAACCAGTCCCATGCACCCATTTCCGTTCATCAACACGCACGAACCAGTGTGGCAAAGTATGGTCAAACAATACACATGAATGACAGCGAGGGGAGGCGTTCATCCGACAGCAGATTACACCAAGGGTTGTACAAATAAACTTCTTTATAAAGAGTCAAGTAAAGACTCAATCTGACTGGAATCCAGGATGTATTACAATGATGATGAGTTATGCCGAAAGGTATTTGACCTAGATTTTTTTAAACGTGAATAAAAATGTATAACTGCTAACCTACACTGACCAGCTTGGCTATGTTCGGTATGGCTGCGGGTCAAACTCAGGTGACCGGGTATATAGCGCAGTGCACAAGCCACTGCATCGCAGCTCCACTCAATGAAAAGAGCATGTCCTAGGGAAAACGTTATTTTCTGCAGATTGGTAGAACAGATAATAGCAGGAACAGGCATTACATCCTTAAATAAGAACACTGTTCATTTCAAGTTAAGTTTTGTAAAACAAAAAACCTAAGTTTTACTGAAACACATGTCAAGAAACAGCATAATGGCATGACACAGCAAAAGCATACAGTCACCATTTTGCATAAACTGTGCTGTTGTTTTCAGCACCATCACCTCATCTTCACACTCATGGTGTCCGTGACCCCATTTCAGTGCACTCCATTCCCCATACACCACCTGACCTAACAATGCAGCAGTTTTAGACAGGACTCCAAGTGTCAACTGCTTAGATGAGAAATAGGTTACATGCTTTAAAAAAACAGGTAACATATTTATAAGTTTTGTTCATCACTCTAATCTTTATGTTAACCCCCACAGATATTTTTTTACAGATGAGAAGGATAAACTGTCCCTGCCACATCAATCTGGCATTTCTACTGCAAGCTCAAGGTTGCCAGCACCACCCTCATACTCGTTACATCCTTTCCAACTGGTACATCGAAGCCGAGCCAAAGCTGGGGCCAAATGGTTATGGGTGGTTTTCTACTGGATATTTTCCATGCCATGCGATGCTATGGCAACCTAACAAAACATCTGCATCTAATTTGGAGCCAAGCAGGGCCAGGTCTCATGAAGCGGTAATTACGTGTGACATCAGTTGGTATAACTCAAATACAGTATCACACAGCGTCATCCATACGCGTCTCTACATTACCCATTGTGTGATGTCAGAGGCATGGCTCGAATTTTGCTGTGGAAAAACTAGCCAACGCCTGCAGTGGTCTGGCTTCGCACTGCCCTGGCACAGCTCAGGTTTGACAGTGGGAAAAGGGCTACATGTATATGATTCTGAAAAATGTAGACGTTAAAATTAGTTTGTGAAATTGTCAATACAAATATATAATCCACTGGACCGAACTAATTCCATATGAAAGTTTTCCAATGACATTTGTTTATTAATCAGGACAATCTTGCACTCATTTCAATACCACTAAGCATCATCAGCAAAGTGCACCAGGAATAGTAACTAACAATGTGGGCTCAAAATTGGTTGAACTACAGCAGTGACACTATACTGTATCAAGTTAAACTCAAAATGTATCTTGGTTCAAACAAGCATTTCAGGTGGTGCAGAACCAGTGGTGGAAATTCCTAATTTTCACAGCGCAGAATGGTTACAAAACGTTACGCATTTTATTTATCCTGATGGGATGATGGTTCAACCTCCAACATTAAGTTTAAGCACACAAGCAGGGATGAAAGATTCAAAAACTATATTGTACATAATATACTATACAGCCCTTGTCAATCCAACGGTGGATGAGGGTCTTGCCAAGCCCCGTCGGTCAGGGAGGTTGTTTGACCATACTTCACCACGCGCGCCAGTGCAGGTTGGTGAAAACGGGGAAGGGTGGCTAAGATTGCTTCATATGTCACTTGCCACCAAGTAAGCCATGTTTGCTTTATTCTTATAACAGGCTGATAAAATATATTCTTAAAATGTCTACGATAAATCTACATATACATTTGCAATTTAACCATCCCATAAAGCTGGTCGTGTATATTGCATAGTGCCAAACAAAGTTCAACATATAACAGGGCTGTTAAAACTCTAGCCAGTGGGCCAAATCTAACCGGTGAGCTCATTTAACCTGCCTAATGGTGTTACTCAAACTCAATGAAAGTGCTGTACCCCTTCATATTTATTTATTTGCACTTCTCTTCCATTTCATTTCTCACATATTTCTCCTGTTATATATATCTATCTTTTCTGAACACCTCTCTCGCTGACCTGTATTTATTATATGGTTGTGGCCTCTACTTCTAAGTATGTGAGGCAAAGCAGTCCTCAATGCAAAAATTATGAACACCCATTATGTTGGGCGAGGGAGAATGAAGCTCGGTAATACATACTTTTATTGTCCTTCTTCCAATGACAAATACCAAAAATGCAGCCGAATGAACTTAGTTTGAAAAATAAAACATGCTTAAAAAAACTGGACATGCACACCTGTAATCCATGACTTGGAAGTAGCGTTGATGGAGAATCTATAATTGGGCAATTATTTTCATGAGTGAATCCACCTACAGGGTAACACACGATAGTCCCTGTAGAGGCCAGTATTATAAATATGTTTCTGCAGGTTATATTCAGTGTTCTCACTTTCATGAGTGTGGGGTTTATCCAGACAGACCTGCATAAACGTTCAAGAACTCTTACCCCCAAAAAAGTCTCTAGACTCTGCAAAGCTTTCCGAGGGAAAGCTTTAAAATATAGAAACACTGGATTTGAAAATGTTGTTTGGAATGGCAGTAACCACAGAAAATGTGTTTTTAGTCAACACTAATCACGGAGCCATGCACACTTGAGGCATAGAATTGCACAATATGAGCGAATTTATACCGTATAGTGTTCCCAATTCAAATTGGATTTCGAAACGCTGTACATAGCACACAGTGTGCGAGTGTATATGCGGGGAGTGGTAATGTAGTGGTCGGCGCACAAGCACTACGAACCCGGCGACCAGTTCGATTCCCGTTAACAACCAATAACAGACAAATATTTGAACTGGTTCCGGGCCTCCCCAAGGTGGACTCCGTCTTAACGAGTACCTCGTGCAGTGGGTAAAAATCAGTACTGGGGAGACAAAGACGGCAGGGTGTAGTGCTGGCCACCCACCATCTCGTGTGCCATTGCCAGTGGTTACTAACAGCACTTGGCCCAAGTCTCTTAAAGGCTATAAAAGGGGGATCTCTGTATTTGTGAGTGCATGTGGAGAATGGTAGCTCAATGTTTAGCACAGGTAGGTGAAATAAACACCCCATAGCGAGGCTGCACAACAGTGGTGGGAAACTAACAGTGGTTGGTGTGTTTTGGATAGTCTGGTCCTTGTCACAAGAAGGTGGACTTGTTCAAGACAATTAAGACTGCCACAAAACACTCAGTTGCACATATAGCACCACCGTTAATCCTTTAAAAGGCTCATTATTAAATTATGTTATCACGAGTACAGTATGTTAATTAAATGGAACAAAATTATCCAGATAAGATCTCATTTCAATACAGATAACCAGCAAATCATACCTGATCATATGATGTCTCAATAAAGAGCTGGACATTCTGTAATACCCAGTTATAATGTACAGTATTGGTCTTTTCTTGCCCAGGGAAAATTGAAATTGTTTACAACTAATGAATTATGAAGTTTAAATTATATTGAGACCCAAGTCTGCTTTGTGCAACGTGTTAACTTAATTCCTTAACGTAACCAAGGCAGAGCAGGCGAGTCTGCTTTTGGTAAACTGAACTGATTAATGAAAAGCAACACACCAATGGGCCTAAATAATAGAGTATTTAAGAAGTACATATTTCCTGCTATGACAAAGGGGTTCATAAACACGGACAGTGATAACGTAAATTGAACATTAGTTGAAACGTGTCATAATTAACGACGAAATGGCAGCAAAAGGAGGTGACATGCCCAGGAGGATGTCCTCTGCAGAGATGGAGTGATGAAATTCGCTCGGGTGTGGCAGTGAATGGGCACTGGATGGTTTGCTGAATCGCAAGATCCATGAGATGAGGCCATCATCCTGCAGTTATGTTGATTTCGTTAGGTTTATTTGTTTTTCATTGTCCATTTTGCACTCTGTGCCATGACACATTAACGTAACAGTCGACTGGCTTTAATAAAAGTGTCACATGGACTCGCATTCACTTGTACGGCAGATGGTGTACTTTGGCAATGCTCCACTAAAATTACCACACAAGTTGCGGGAGTTGAACGATGATACTTGTAACTGCAAATAACTGCTGAAACTTAGGAACAAGCCGTGTCTGTACTCGAAATAAGTATAGGGCCTCTGGGTATCTAGCATGTGTGCGCATGTGCACGTCGGTGTAATATTTTCACGTGTGTTTATCTGTTTGCCTGCATGTGTCTGTGGGGAGCAATGGAATGGCAACATAGCTGTGGACATCGCCAAAAGCAACGATAATCTAAGCCTGCCCTGGGCAAACCAGGGCCTAAAAAGCCAGCGCACATGACAGCATGTTGACATCAAGACACTTCTACCAACGATCTGTGAGGTTAAACGCTATTATTCACCTTAAGAACGTACGTTTTAAAATAATTATTATTCCTTGTGCGTCTAACAACACGTGCGTTAAATATGAATTGTACTTTGTCAATGTGCAATGATTGATTCCACGACTTACGCCAGGCTCATGATTTGTGATACGCTGGTAAATACGCGGAGATCGTGCCCAACAGCACGCGATACAACCCGAAACACATGGAACAAAAAACATTTACAGATTATAGGTCAAACCTCTGATATGGTAACACTGCCTAATGGCTACTACGATCAATAAATAACAGCTCTGGTGAAGAGTACATGGCTGTCTTTTTTCTTGCACAACAGTGGCCAAGCGTGCACACGCCGTGACTGTACGAGGTGGGTTTTTTTTGCCATGTGCCATAGCCTATTGAGTTAATCAGGCAGTGCGCATTCATGTGGGCAATCGACATAATGCCACGGCTAGGAGAGGCCTTCATCCAGCAGTAACACGATCATGGCTGTTGAAGTTGATGATGGCACAGTATTTGATGCGTGTGTGCTCTTTGTGTGACTGTGTAATCCCAGAACCTCCCAATAAGCACGGTGCGAAATAAGTTCAACACACGGTATACCATACATGTTGGTGGGTGGATGGGTGGGTGGATGGGTGGGTGGGTGGATGGGTGTGGGGGGGTGTGCAAAGTTACCACAATAACAAGTTGGCAACGGAAACAAGAACCGGCCACGTGAGAGCTCGAACCCACACACGACTTTCACACAAACACATGACACACACACACCCCCATCACACGAACTCTGTTGTGCACGTGAAGTTGCAAACCCAAACCAATACCAACTAAGCAAACGGTACATAGAGTACACACACAATGTACACATGTACACATGATCACATTCGACAACCAATTAGCTTTTGTTGCTGTACTGTATTCATGAACGTCAGTGTCTTTCAGCGTAAGGTGCTAATTCATCTCCCTTGGCCGGTGGCGTTTGCGGGAATTCCACATTACAATGACACAAAGTCAACCACTGCTGCCTTGCCACACAATGGTACCGATTTTAATCGACCCAGGATATGATGGGCACCCGTATACTTATGTAGTACGGTGTATAAACAACATTCCCATGCAGATGCGTTTGGCTGATGAACGTTCACACGACACACTAAACCTATAAAACAAGAGTGGAAAAACTGGAGAGAAAAAACACCAACATTGTTCACAAACCCACGCGTGATGTAAAGATACCATAACCGTGCTACAGTTAAAGAATGTAAGCAATTAAAAAAAATAATGCAACGTTCATACATTTGCATTAAACGCACCCGGGTGAATGTATTCCGAGTCATAGTCACACACATGGCAGTATAATCTGTCGAGGTGCACTTTCAAGTTTACTTTAAGTCTTAAGATAGTCGTTTACCTTACACTTAATCCAACAAAACGGCCCCCATATTCTTAGTTTTTTCGGTAAAGTCACGTTGAAGAGAAACAACAAAATAACAAAATATATATATAAAACAATAAAAAAATTCTCACGACGTTTCTCTTCAACGTGACTTTACCGAAAAAACTAAGAATATGAATTACTGCAGTCACGAAAGCTTTAAATCAAAACGGCCCCCGTTTAGTCAATCCACTGCTGGAAGCTGGACGAGGGATGTTTGACCATACTTCACTACGCTGGTAAGTGCAGGTCGGTAAATTGAATACATAAAATGTTTCTGTATTGCCCACGCACCTACCAACAACACGTGTTGTTGTGTATGGCGGGCACCCATCAAAGCAGCATGCAGGAAACTATAACTTGCGTAGCTTCCGATGCCTTTTCCAGGTGATGGGATATGTTATAGGCAAGTTTATACATACAATAGAAAATGCAAATCCGCATTTAAAACAATACTGGTTTCTTTGATCCACAAAATATCCTCAATAGGCCCAAGACTGTATACACCAACACATGACCATTCCGCACGTGGTGTTTTTAAGTTGTACAGAGTACGGTATTTATACATTATAGGTGGCCACGCGAAATTGTAATTAAAACACAGCAAATCAAATAGGCCCAAGCCACCAAAACACATTGTGCAAGTCAAGCGCGTACTATAAAATACTGCACCTCGCACGTGAAATGTCACGGTCTAAGAGTCCCTTACCCCAGCCATCTCTTACTTGAAACAGGCGTGCGTGTGTGTGGGCTGTTCGGTACGGTCCATTTATACAGTTACACAAACTCAGCGTTCACAACAATCGCTGCTGTGCTTTGTGTGTTTTTTTTACACGCGCCACTATGTGCACAAGACGCAGGAGAGAGAAAAAACACAACACAACGTGGGAGAGAGACGATGGGCCCATGCCGTTTGTTACCACATCGGTACGATACAAACACAACGCCAATGTCACAGGTATTTGTATTAAATTGCACGCTTTGGGAGAGGCCTTCATCCAGCACAACTGATACGAGTTCCCCTGAATTAGCATGCACATGCTGTTTGGGGCAAGTTCTGTTTAGCGAGCACCTAGAAAGGCCCGGCAGTGTTTGGGCCAGCACCACGCCTGGCCGCCTTTGTATCCCTGGTTCCTGGCGATGTTCACTCACCTCACCGCCTTGGACGCCGCTCTTTTCTCGCGGTGGAGTTCGGGAGCCCCTGCAGGGATGGGCGTTTTCCCTGCGATTTTGGCGTCTCCCTTTGTACGCCGACCTTCACCCACTCGTGTATCAAGCCCCTGCACAATTATCTCTCCGCGTATGTGTGTGTGTATATACGTATGTGTCCCTCTGTATACCCCTCTCTCGTGTCTGCCTTTCCCTATCTACGGTGAAGCTCTTGCATGTGTTGGCAAACCACACTCCCCCCCCCCCTCGGCGATTCCTTTGTACGCCTTCACGTCTTCACCTCCCCGTGCCACTCTGTGTGTGAGTACGTGTGGGTGCACAGCGTGTACCTCGATGTTGTAGTTACTACCAGTGGCCTCGTGTGCAAAAAAAAACACACGCAAAGTTCTAAATATCTCCCAATTGACGCGTGCACGGAAGGAAGAACGCCACTCACTGCCCCGATCCTCCTCCCTCTGCGAGCCTCACTCTGTGCTCTGACGTGCCGCCCTATCAGACCCCAGTCCCACGTAGAAATCCGCGGAAGTCACCCTCCACTGAGCGACAAAACCCACGCGGTGCAGGCAGTGTCCCACGTAGAAATCCGCGGAAGTCACCCTCCACTAAGCGACAAAACACAAGCGGTACAGGCTACGTCTCACGTAGAAATCCGCGGAAGTCACCCTCCACTGTGCAACAAAGCACACGCGGTGCAGGCAACGTCCCACGTAGAAATCCGCGGAAGTCACCCTCCACTAAGCGACAAAACAAGCGGTGCAGGCTACGTCCCACGTAGAAATCCGCGGAAGTCACCCTCCACTGTGCAACAAAGCACACGCGGTGCAGGCAACGTCCCACGTAGAAATCCGCGGAAGTCACCCTCCACTAAGCGACAAAACACAAGCGGTGCAGGCTACGTCCCACGTAGAAATCCGCGGAAGTCACCCTCCACTGTGCGACAAAACACACGCGGTGCAGGCAACGTCCCACGTAGAAATCCGCGGAAGTCACCCTCCACTGAGCGATAAAACACACGCGGTGCAGGCTACGTCCCACGTAGAAATCCGCGGAAGTCCGACAGAGACATCGCCTCTGCAACAAACCCACACGTGCTCCGTGCCGGGGTGGAGCGGTGGGAAACCGGTTAGCACTGCACTGCGCCACCGTAACAACGAACCCGCCCGGCCTTCATTCGACTGAGCAGCGACCGCGGACGTTGTGATGCGTGATAACGGTCCTGAGTGCCCCCTTTCCAGCAACATTCACGGATAAAAGTGGTGAAATATGTACTCCTTTGGTTCTTTCGGTAAAGTCACGTAGGTGGAAAAATGTAATAAAAATATATTAATATATTATTTTTATTTTGTTTTAAAAAAAATTTTCATTATCGCGGCCTCGTAACAGCAACACTGCTTGTGTTTACCATTTTTTTTTATAAAAAAAAAAGGTATAACGGTTGTGTATAGATTTTTTTCATAGCCTTGATGTGCACAAATTGTTATCCATTTTGCGAATATGGTGCTTTCGGTGAGGTTCTATTGTGCAATAATCTAACATCCATGGATACAGCTATCGCTTGTGCTGCTGCTGGTGGTGGAAGGGCGTCCTCCACTCGAGGGAGCGCTGCGTGATATTTTCCCCTTACGCTTCCCCACACTGCGTCAAGGACGGCTAGAGTACGGTTACTCACTCTTTACTACAAAATTCGCGTGAGATTGCCCATTGACTGCGATGTACCCCATTTGTAACGCGGCAGTTTCACATGTGAAGTTTGCAATCTTTCATCACGCACGGATATTTTATGGGCCAACCAACCAGGCAGGTGAACAGGCCATTTTAGTCTTTGCAAAAAAAAATACGTTTACACGCACACCACACACAAAAAACCCCAACACGTACACACATGCCCAACCATCACATGGTTCTTCTGCGGTCATCTGGAACGCTATGCACTTTTAAATCTAAGTTAAAAACTCATTTCTTTAGAAATGCTTTTTGTGTTTTAGTTTGTTGTCCTCCTCCCGCACCTCCTATTAGCACGGTTGGTTACGTACGGTGCGAAAGAAGTTCAGAATACATGGCAGATACTACTGTATATAGCCCAAACTTCCGCGGATATCCACGGAGCCCTGTTTTTTTTTGTCAGAGTTTAAAGTTCGTCGGGTTTTTTTTCGTTTGGAGTAACAATGCTGCTGGGATGGGTTTGTGGAGCAGGGGGATGGGCAGCCACTTTGGGAATTCCTACAAAGAGATGGGAGGGGGGCTGGGGTCTAGTCACGCGTGATGGCTGGGCTGTGTGTGACCCTTTAAATAAACACTGCTGTGTGCAAGTAAATATTTTGATCCGCATGAGAAAAACACCAACACCGGTGCGAGTGCATGGCCGCTAATGTACCATCAGTTTCAAGGATGCGTATGTACTTGAATGTAAAACACATGGATGTCTAAGTCCGCCACTGTATGTGAACCATTACACGCATTACAGTTGTATTTGTTGTGATACAAGCTAACTACTATGATCTGTTTCCCTATTGCTCACGACTTATATAATCCGAGATTTTGTTTCATCCCGATGTAATGTGAAATCTTGGATAACCCCGCAGATAACATGCTCTGCAATATTGGCCAACCACATCAGCACGGCGAAGATGAGTTCTGTATTCTTCCTGGAGATCTCATGATCGAAAAGTCACCAACCATTCCTCTCGCTGACATTTAATTTCTGTTTTGTTTTCACTTGCTCACCGAGGTCCAAGATGAGCGCTTACCCTTTGCTTATTTGAACAGAGGGACACTTTGACTTTGTGTTATAGTGTTACAACTGTGTTCTACACCGCATGGCTCGCATTCTTGCAAAGCCTGACCTATGACCCTGAGAAGTTGGCTGGCGGACAATGCACGAGAATAGCCAGTGGGTGACATCAGATTGACGAGTAGCAGCGCTAGACCAGTAGAGAATGAGAGAGGATGTAATGGGGCTGATGGAAAAGGACACTTTACAACTCTGAGCTAACTGGGACTGCCATCAATAAAAATGATATGCAATGTTAATGCATGCTGTGTTAGAGTTGAATGAAACTAGTAGCATAGCGTAATATTGAGATTAACTTATTCTTTTTAGGGTTACTGCGATGTCAGGAGACGATATTAAATACCACGAGCTGATGATTGCATGTCAGTTTTAATTAAATATTGTACTGTATTGATGTCGTGTTTTGCTGTACTTCAAGTGCAAATAGATTGCTAAACAATTTTTAATCTGCAGTTCACTCAACATACGCCTGCTATACGACTTCGAATAATTTCATCTCTATCTAACCTATAAGGCTTTGAAACGCATACACTATGAGTTACACTAAACCAATTGTATTATCAAATGAACGGTGGAAAGAACTACTTAATATAACCTCAAATACTAAAAAAAAAAGTTTGGCAAATCCCAAATTTTATGGGTGATAGCTATTTTTAAAAAAACTAAAATACTATTGTGTACTTTACAGTAGTTTTTTTTTAATTTACTTTATCTGTCCCAAAAAAATAATCAGCAACTATAATCACGATATGCCGCAATTTTTTTTTTACGGATGACCCAATTACCGTAGTATCGCCATATCGTGGCAATTTTTAATAATACAACACACGCATTAGTACAGTACTTAACAATAATGTACTGTGCATAACTCTAGTTATAATATAAATCGCTTTTATTTAACATAAATATGCTATACTTAGCCTAAAAACATCTACATTATCTATTCAACATTAATAATTCCTGTGAAAATGTGTTAATTAATTATTTCGTCATTGGTGAGGATTGTATGCAGCTGTGAATAGAGTTGGGATGTGAGAACTGATAAGAGGCTAATATATAATGCATCGGTGTGAATGTGTCAGCTGCTAACTCCTTCAAGTGGAAAGTCGCCAAACGAAGCTCAAATAAGTCGTTCATTAAATTACCTTAAAATACGTAATATTAAAACAAACTTTTTTTAAAACACGCTTTAATGAAATGTACCGTACTATTAATGGAAGAACTCCACGACTCCAGGAAGTGGCCCCGAAGCTTGCCACAACGTAAGGGGCCCGTGGTGATTTACAGCCAACGTCAGTCGAGCGTGGACAATTAGACCCAAGCCGAAACATAACATATAAAAAAGAATGTTTAATTTTTCTATTATTATTAATGATAGAATATAGTATTGTCATCAGTATGACATAAGTATACCAAGTTTGCAGTCGATACCACATTGGGAAGTGGGTTAAAATTGAGTTACAAGATTTGAGGATACAACAGAGTGAGTTAAATAATAAAAGCGTGTAAATAATAATAATAAAAAGTATCGACAGACGTGGCAAGATGAACCTTCTGATTGGGATTTTAGCCATCAGCACACTGAACCTGCAATCCAGAAGTTCGCCGGTTCGATTTCCCGGCGCGACAGTTTAACACATTGACGCGTTTCTTAGATCTCCCTGCCTCTTGTCAACCCAGCAGTACAAACAGGGGGCAGAGTTAGCCGATGGCCTGGTTTGCGTGATGTGGGCTAAACGTAAAGTGTCGGATATATTCCACCTCGTCCAAGACGTCTGACCAACGTGGAGTAGGTAAGTTGCCTCCAGAGCTCCCTTTAGTGGAGTCACTTCTGCAAAGAAGTATGGGCAAAGCAAAATTATTCAGTCCTGCACCTTGAACCTTTGACCTGTCGTCGTGAAAATGTCACTATACAAATTTGCTACGTATTATTACACATCGTACGCGGATACAGGATCCGTAGGAAATACTGTACCCAGATTCATGTCACTGTAAAGATCTTCATCAAATCAACGTTGGATGAGGATAGTCTTGGCCATACTTCACCACCCTGGTCTGTGTGGGTTGGTGAAGGCGAGGGGCATAAACGTGAGGCCATAGAAGTGTAGGACAGCGGTTGCTATTTATCCACTGCCCTCGAAACCTTAGCACACACCAGAAACGTCCAAAACAACCGGTTTTATGCGTGGTTGCCGCCCATCAAAGCACTATTCAGGCTCAGACCTGCTTAGCTTCCGAGATCTTACGAGATCTTACGAGATCGTGCGCATTCCGAGTGATTTCAGAGAGATGATGATGAGGCTGACTTGGCCCTGGGTGGCGTTTGAGCAGAGACACTTCCGCTTAACGATTCTATATACACTCACAGGATGTTCCAATAAGTAGGAAACATAACTTCGCTTAATCTAATCAAAACGTATCCACAGTACCATGTTCTCATGATTTTGAGAAGCGTTGTCCAGTACAGTATACTAAAGCAAGCGTTGGGGCTGTGTCTTATAATCGGGCAGGTGAGTAGTCACATTTCTATAACTTTATTTTTGTATCACACCCGGCAAAATTGTTTGAGGTGCGTCTTATTTTCCACATCGATTTAGAATCTGTCTAATATGGTGGTACAGATTGAGTAATGTGTCGTTTTCAAAAACATTTATTTTTATTTTTCTCTAACGGCTACCACTGAGCACCATGTGAACATAAAATAACCGTTGCTTTTACAGTTAATCACTACCGTTAAGTGGATGTTACATAATATTCTTGATTCTTTCGGTAAAGTCACGTAGAAGGGAAACAATAAAATAATAATAAAAATATTAAACAATAAAATTCTCACGACGTTTCGACTGCAACACAAGCAATCGTCATCAGGTGTGAAAACCACAGCAATACATTTTTGAATATAATGTCACGTGCAGCTTATTTCTAACTAAATGCATTCACGGCGTCCCAGTTGGACAAATCATGAATAATGTAAACTATGTCACATTTTGTTTGTCTTTGTTCGCGAGTTTTGCGAAGGTTCTGGAATGTGTCGGATCTTGTCATCAACCCGCACTGGCGAACGTGTTCAGTCAACTATGGCTAGGGTAGGGCCTCACTGAATTGACACGGCTAGGAACTCTCACCCATGGTCCAAAAATATGAATGTGAAGAGCTATATCTTCAATTTACAAACTCTCCTGTTACAAATAAGTGCAATGGTTGCTCTTTAGGACCATACAAATAATAGCATGTACAGTAAGTGTATTGACAAATGGTTCTGAATATGTTATGTAACTTAACTTTACCAGGTAAGGCCCACTAAGCTATATAGATCTTTTTTTTCCAGAAGCGACCTGGCCGCAAATGATAGCTCAACGAAGTGGCTTATCGTGTTGAAATTTATAGCAGCCAAATACTCCACACGCCTGATGTTTATTCTAAATGTGGAGGGAAAAACCGGAGGACCCGGAAAAAAAGTCCACAGGACCACGGGGAAAAGAGACGAAAACTCCAAATATACATCGAACCCACGACCTCCTGTATACCAGGCGAGGTAGTTAACACCTCGCCGTTGCATTCGTCCCCATCTATTTTACAAACGTCTTGTACGGTATTCGAAGGAACGTGGGCCACGTAATACAATAAACGAGAAAAAGTGTCGCCTAGGCAGCACTCTTCCAAGGTGACCGGCTCTAACTCGGCTTCGTTAGGGGTACGCCTTTAAACACTGTGTGAGAGCGAGCGGGTAGCCTTTAAGAAACCACGCGCTCCGATTGGTGGAGCAGTCGACAAATAGGAATCGCCGCAGGTCAAAGCATTTAAAACTCGTGGACATCACGATAAGTGTCCATATTTACGCTTTAAAACTCTGGTTTCTCGCGTTTTGTAAGCGTGCCTTAATTTACGATCGCGTCACGGAGACGGCTTAGCAGTCCACGTCGGTGTCGTGTACATTTACACAAACTGTGATTGTGTACCGTTTTCCGGAAAAAAAAACATTTTTTTTCGATCGGCCCGCGTCGCCTCTGCCGCCGTGGGGTCGGCTCGCCGGCGTGAATTCTAGGCGAGATCGGCGTCCAGCGAGGCTTGAGCAGGCCGTGCGAACTTAAGGGTTCGTGCGGCCCCTCGGCACAGATACGGGGGCCTTAGATAGACGAGAGGGACACACGGAGATACAGACAGTAAGGAGACGGTGATAGAGACACGGAAAAACAAGGGTCAGACAGACGTAGACAACTCTGGTTGACAGCAACAGAGCAGGTGTATAAAGGAGACACGTACGGAGACGGCAATACTCGCCGAGAGAGGCTTCTAAATCACAGCCGTGTAGATACGGAGAGAAGAAACAGACACGTAGGTAATGACAGGCAGGGGATGAACCAAAGAGAGACGCATACAGGATCATATAGGCAATACTGAGATACACATTGGCAGAAAGACGCACTAAGAGAGACCGATTGACTCCTTGAAAATAGATCAAATAGACAAGACGGAGAAACCCCAATCCAGGAATCGCGTACGTCTCTCTCCAACTTCATACTTCGCGGCCGCTCACGTCAAGACCCCTGCGTCTGTTGAAGGCTGAGCAGGCCGTGTGGACCTCAAGGGTGACGACGGTGAGTAATCATGGTGATGATGACGACGACTGTGCCGCTGCGATGAGAGCTCTCGTGCCTCTGCCGTTCATCTGTTTCCTGGCCCTGCTGTGGCTGCGCGTCATGTGGACGGGACGCTACCTCCGCAAGCCGCTCACCCGCTCGCTCTACATGAGCGCCATGGGGCGAGTGGGATTGACGGGAACCCACGAAGACGAGGAGATGGCGGGGACGAGGTCCAAGCACGGCGAGGTGAGGGTCCAGAAGGACAGACGGTTCCATTTATTCTAGATTTAAAGCTTTCGTGACTGCTAGGATCCACACTCCAGCGCTGTCCTCCAGACAGTCTCGTCCCTTCACCTGATGAAGGCCGCTTGTGTTGTGGCCGAAACGTCGTGATTTTTTTGTTATTTTATTTTCACCTATGTGACTTTACTCAATAGAACCAAAGAGTATGTAAAGTTCCATTTATTTTTCATCGTTAGTTAGTTCCACTTATTTGGTATAGCCCTGTGAGCCAATTCGGCTCTTGAATCGGGTGCAACCGCAACAAACAAAAAAACTAAAACGTGAACAAGAAAAAAACATCTTAAAGTGACTGTGTGTGACTGTGCAAACAGAAAATCCAGGAAAAAAACATCAAAATATTCCTGAAAAAGCACCGTACACCAACGCTGTGTGCAAAAATCCCAGTGGGATGCAAGTCAAACAACAACAACCACAAGAGAACTAAGATTAAGGCCATCAGTCTAACTCCGTACTACAATAAACAAAAAACAGGGCAACCAGTAACAGAGCCAAATCACTGGTAAGCTCGTGGCAGTAATACAGGTGGTCGGTAAGGACCTCACATCAATATTGCATGTGAAGCCCATTTGTCAATCCACTGTTGGATGAAGGTCTTCAAGGTTGCGTGCTGGTAGGGAGGATTATGTGATTATACTTCACGCTGGTCAGTGCGAATTGTTGACGGCGGGGAGAAAGAGAAGAGTGTGCATAGAGGTACAGCACTCGAGTGGCGTTTGCCTTTGCTGTTCACCACGTATCCAGCTGCAGAGATCTTACGAGATCAGACTTATTCTGTGTGATTTGCGCACAGGCCACCATCGGTGGGTTATTACATATCAACTGGAGCAGAGGTTCACAGCTGGCTATCAAATGTGACCTTCAAACAACAACAATATAAAAAAAGTTATATAAACAGCCAAAATTACGGCACCCTGCCAAAATTACGGTCCCTGACTGATGTATGAATGAGCCTTCAAAAATTGGAGCCACGAAAATCGTGAGGTTTTTCATAATCAGCCTAAACCCTTCAGGGTGTGCACTCTAATTTCAACGTGATCGTTTCAGAAATGTATATGTAAAATACTCGGTCAAAGCGTTATTTATCCACATAGCTTTATTAATACCAGCCTCCCAACCCCAGTGTGTCAGCTGTCCCTTTTCAAGACAACGCCACGTCACGTGAAACATTTAGTCCAGTTACAGAATGGTCCCATTTTAAGGACTTACACCACCAGTAGTATATGCCATTTAATACAGGTAGTACAGAAAAAACTATCAGTTGCTTCAGGAATATGAATAGAAAGGAAGATTATAGTTACTCTTAATTTCCAGGAATTTAACGTACTGCATTATAGTGCAAGCCGGTTACTCACGATTGTTTTGCCTGTACCACACTTGCACACAGGAACACCTTGTGACTAAGTTTCATTTAATGATTCTAATTTACATATTTATAGTAAATTTTCTTTGAATTCTTAATCACTATTTGCAGCACTTAATCTTCCAGAAGAGCTGATGTAGGAACACATCAAACACAGTTGGTTTTTCTATTGCTGCTTTTGAGATACATTTTTATGATCAATATATGTAAAGCTTTAAAAGTTAATAATGTAAAAATCCTGGGTCACGTGTGGTCTGACGTAAATGATCAAGTAAAGTGTTTTTTATTAAGTGTTTGAAAGAGGTTTTTTTTGTAACACGTGAATGAGATTAACATTTTCGAATTATGTTAATGTATTCCAATGCTCTCGCATTTTGTATTTTCCCAATTCTAATTTTCAATTTTGCATCACCTTTTTGGACCCTGCTTCAGCTTTCTCTATTGCTTGGACAGTGTTTCTCTATTAATTTACTTAATGCTCATCTTCAATATTCTTTACACGTCCTTTTCCATTTCTTCACCGTAGCTTCTTACCTTTCATCTTATCCAAAAACAAAACATGCAAATTTTGTTTCTCCAAGCAATAATCTCTCCACTGCTGGATCTCACAGTTTTGGGATGTCATCCATCTCGTTCTGCAAATGAGTTAATCTCATTATTCCATCTCCCTCCTTTGGCTGCCATTCTGTTACTCGTATTACCCATCAGCCATCACTCCTACCAATGTGCCCTGTATAAACCCACTTGTAAGTCAATAGATGTCCTTAATTTTCATTTTTTTCTATTTACATTTCTGCTTGACTGATCACGTCTGGATTTGAATTAAAGATGACGTTCTTTGATGGTACTTTAAAATATAAAATGTAACTTGTTAGTTTTATGTGTGTGTGCGTCTGTGTAAATAGTGGTACACAGTGAACCAGTCGCTGCTTCGAGAGGACCTGCGTGCACTGCTGCAGGAAAATGAGCTGGACGCAAGCACACGCGCTTTCCTAGCCAACAGTACCACCAAGTCAGGGTGGCTCTTCACGCAACTCTACTACTCCATGGTCTCTTCGCTGCTGGGTTTCTTTGTGTCGCGCACGTCTGTCAACGGGTGCGCCATGTCTCAGAACATTAACTCCCCTTCCATCCCAAAGACCCTCCAACCTCAATAGGACCGAAGTCACTAATTATTGTCATCTTCAATCCTTTTTCGTTACCTTTGCTACAAAATTATATTACACTTGCATTATCGGCATCATGTTACGAGATAAGGACATTTCTTTTCACCATAAACACTGCGAGTTAGTTCCCTTCGTTTAACAAAAAAATGGGCCCAGAAGTTGACTTCACGGAACTACAGCACTTCTGAAGTCCCTTCTTTAGCTACAATAAGGGCACACCTTTAATATGGCCTGCAAAGAGTATTCATTACATGTCAATCGAATCAGATTTGGCACTCTCTTCATTACTCTTTGGTTCTTTTCGGTAAAGTCACGTAGGTAAAAATAAAACAACAAAAAATCACGACGTTTCGGCCACAACACAAGTAGCCTTCATCAGGTGAAGAAACAGGACTGTCCAGAAGACAGCGCTTGAGCGCAACAGTACCACCAAGTCAGGGCGCTGTCTTCTGGACAGTCCTGTTTCTTCACCTGATGAAGGCTACTTGTGTTGTGGCCGTAACGTCGTGATTTTTTGTTGTTTTATTTTTACCTGCGTGACTTTACCGAATAGAACCAAAGAGTATGGATCCTTGCAGTCACGAAAGCCTCAAATCTAGAATAGACTCTCTTCTTTATTGTGAGCATCAGTTCTCCACCATCCTTTGTTGCTGGAGGGCAGCTGCCTCCAACTGTCTGGTTTTGTGTTTTACAAAGCCTCCTTCACAGAAGCCGAAATTGATTTTGCTTATACCAGTAGTTAGTCTACTCAGCTCTAAGTCTTTCTGTTCCACATTAGTCCATCTCTTTTGTAGCCTTTGCCACGTCCATTTAGATCTCTCTATCAAGCCAAATTGAAGCTGCTTGAGCATACAGTGACTGGGCCTACATGACCCAGCCTGCCAGAGGAGGTCACTGATCGAATTTTACAGATATTTAAAGTAATCTGTGAACTTTTTCAGCTGTGTGTTATCAGCAATGCCATTGAGAGAAAGGGTGACAGATGGTTCATCACCATCATGGCACACTTACTTCCACCACAACAAAGGTGCCCCTGGTCTGGTGGAAAAGGCTCGAACCCCTCCACCATAAATGTTATTACCAAGGGACCACGGATAGGAAAATAAAGTAGCACATGTATACATATATACAGAAATGTTTACATGCATGAATGCACATGTGTATACATACACGAATTTTGAAAGCTAAAATAAATTATGTGCTTTTATAACAGTCTTAGCTTTAATTTGATACCACATCATTGTGGCAGAGCTTGTACTTGCAGAAGATATTGGGATATATAACAATGTACATATCCGTGGAGCAAAAATGTGGAGTGTGCCCTTATGGGAAATGTGAAATAAAACAACTAGGCAACTGTTGAGCTTTGTTCACCAAACTAAACCATTTGCCTCATCAAGTGGCCACACTCCATGTGATGCAGTTTTTCAAGAGAAAATCCTCTAAATGTAGTGCAGAACAGCATGCTTTTATGTCCTTAAATGGACAGTCTGGACATGTTAACAGTGAAATATTTGTATATAAAATAGTTACAAATAAAAATCAGTTTTATTTGGGTTTTTTTTTTACTCAAAATTTGTTCCCGATTCTCGAAGGGCAACGTGTCATAAAATAATCCTGGAGAACTTTCGCAGCGCATTGTGACCCCGTGTACCCAAGAATGGCTGTGCTCAAATTATTTGGACAACTTCTGAAAATTGCAATGAGTGGCCTTTCATATTTATTCAATGGAGGGCACGCCTTCCCACAATGTTATGAGAGTGATGTTCCATGATAATTAATGTAATATTTTAATTCCCAGAGCTTAAATGTAAGAAAATTAAGTTTCTTAACTCTTGCTGCCTCATGACTATGATCATGATCAATGGCGGAGCCAGAATTTTCAGGTAGGGGGGGCAACCCCTCCAACAATTAAAAATTATAGGTGTTGTTAGTAAGTAGGAAGTTGTTAGTAAGTAAGGAGTTGTTAGTAAGGAAGGACTTGTCCCTTGCTTTTTATTCGACGCATGTGCGGCGATGGCGCAGCCATTGGTCGAGGGTCGAATTAGAACCGCGTTGTGTGATCGGCATCGCGCTCGCTGAAGGTATGCGTTCAGGAAAGTCGTGTACTGTATACGCAGCTGCGCAAAATTCTGAGTCACTTATAACTGCTTTGCCGTTACTTATTGCCACTTATGGACTCAGACTATTATCCTATCATCTCATAGAGTCCCTGGTACGTAATAATATGCTACACAATGGCAGTGGGGGTTGCAAAATGCCGATTTATTACTAATAAACCCCAATGATCCAATCGAAATTGGGGATTTCGATCGGATCATTGGGGGGGGGCACGTGCCACCCACCCCCTCCACTGGCTTCGCCAGTGATCATGATGGTGATGAAGATGATTGTGATGAGGAAGATGATGTTTATGATAATGGACCATGATTGGATGCCCATGGATGTGGGAATGTCTGCAGGGTCCTGGGCCGCGGCTCCATGTTCGTGCTGTCGGCAGAGCAGTTCCGGCGTTTGCTGGGCATTCCAGACAGCTGGCGTGCCGACTCCCTGCTGGATTTGGGTGCTGGTGATGGGGAGGTGACTGCCATAATGGGAGCGCACTTCAAGCAGGTGTTCGTTACTGAGGTGTCGCCCACCATGCAGTGGCGACTGCGCAAGCGCGACTTTACGTGAGTCATGTTACGGAGGAGTGGGTTAGAGTCGGGATAGGTCAGATGGCTGGGTGGCTGAGAGGTTAGATCCCTGAGGTGGCACTTACGAGGTCCTAGGTTTGAATCCAGGCAGCTGCTTGTGATTAAACTGCATCCTCAAGTATAGTGCAGTCTAGGCATAAACGTTTTATGTATGCTGGAAGAACGCAGGTATCCAGGTCAAAGCTGGGTGGCATCACGTCATAAATTATTTTTCTCGACTCCACTAATACTCCTGTTTTCCATGAGCATGTTCCTCCTATTATCAGCGGTGTTTTTCTGGAAAAGAGGAATTGAGCGGAAATTTCCCCCGTTAGTCCACAGCTACGAAAAGTGTTTTTCCAGGTATTTGCAGATAAATGGAGTGACAGTTTCCTACTATTATTCGTGTGTATTTGCAGCTTTGTGGTATAACATTCCACCATCGTGTTTTGTCACTCTCGTGATTACCCACAACCCATTGGCCTTAATTGATAATATGATAACCTGCTGCAATGTATGGCTAGAGAGGGATTTTTTTTTGTCTCTGTGGTTTCTTTGCTGTGCACGCAGCGTGCTGGGCGTGACAGAGTGGAACATTGTGTATGATCGGCCCTACGACTTGGTGAGCTGCCTGAATCTGCTGGATCGCTGCGAGCGGCCGCTGACGCTGCTGCGCGAGGTGCGACAGGTGCTGCGGCCTGGCTCAGGGCGCCTTCTGTTGGCCGTCGTGCTACCCTACAGGCCCTATGTAGAGCGTGGTGAGTGGAGTCCTTTATTGTCTCAGTTGCAACATTGGATAACATGTCTCTTGTATTCTTTCTTTATTCCCCTTGATCTCTCTCCCAGCAAACGTCATTCATTCCGTTTTCACATCCGAGATTGTGTCCAGTCCACATCTTTCACCATTTTTAGATTTTTATAATTAAAACGCTCCCAAAACCTGTTATAGAACTTCCTCATTACTCTTTCTTTACATCCCACTGACTTTCTAAATCCAATGCCATACACACATCTCAAAACGTTCTTGTTTTCTTATGTCTTCCTGTCTCAGTCCAAATTTCTATTACTAGATAGTAATCCCCATTTTGCTTTATTGACCATTCAGGTTGGTGAACACACCTCCCTGACAAAGGAATTCACCTCGATCATGCTGTTGCGGTCCTGAGGTTTGATAATAAAAATAAACGTACCAACGTGTTGGCCGCAAGATGGCACATTGGTAACACTTGTGCCTCATAACAAGAAGGGCCTGGGTTCTATTTCTGACTTGGCTACCTTTCTGTGTGGAATTTGTATGTTCTCCACCTTTCTGCATGGGTTTCCCTTGGGTTCTCCAATTTAAATTTTGATTTAAAGCTTTCGTGACTGCAGGGATTCATATTCTTGTCTCTTTCGGTAAAGTCACCGAGAAGGGACTTCTCCAATTTACTTCCATTGGCAAAAAAGCAATGTTAACAGTATTCATGCTCTTTGGTTCTTTCGGTAAAGTCACGTAGGTATAAAATAAATTAAATCACAACGTTTCGGGAGCAACACAAGCGTCCGTCATCAGGTGGGACAACCACGGCAAGAAAAAATTGCTGAAGTGGGCAAAAGGGCTGCTGTACCAAGAGGCCATATAGGCAAGATAAGGGGGGAGGAACCAGGGAGGAGAGACAGAGAGGGTGGAGGTGTGGGGTAGGGGGAGTGGAGGCTACAAGTAAGCAACAAGCACGCCCACTTCCCCTCCCCGGCATTTTTTTGCTGTGCTTGTGTCTTACTTGTAGCCTCCACTCCCCCTACCCCACACCCCCAACCTCCCTGTCTCTCCTCCCTGGCTCCTCCCCCCCTTCTCTTGCCTATATGGCCTCTTGGTACAGCAGCCCTTTTGCTCACTTCAGCAATTGTTTCTTGCTGTGGTGGTCCCACCTGATGACGGACGCTTGTGTTGCGCCCAAAACGTCGTGATTTAATTTACTTATTTTCTACCTACGTGACTTTACTGAAAGAACCAAAGAGTATGGATCCCTGCAGTCACGAAAACTTCAAATCAAGATTAAACAGTATTCAAGCATCCCAATGCTGAAATATTATGTGCAAGTTACTCGTTTGGGATTACAGTTGAAATCTGATTTTGTAAATCTCGACTTCACCTCCTAAACTTAAACTCGAGATTACAAGACATCAGCTTGAGAGAGGTTTAATAAAAAGACACATTGAAACAGCTTTGTGGGGTCATCCTTAATATAGATTCATCCTTTACTGGGCATATGAAATTCAAGACAACATTTACAGTGAGGGAAAAACGCATTTGATCCCCTGCTGATTTTGTACGTTTGCCCACTGACAAAGAGATGATCAGTGTATAATTTTAATGGTAGGTTTATTTGAACAGTGAGAGACAGAATAACAACAACAAAATCCAGAAAAAAACATGTCAATAATGTTATAAATTGATTTGCATTTTAATGAGGGAATAAGTATTTGACCCCTCTGCAAAACATGACTTAGTACTTGGTGGCAAAACCCTTGTTGGCAATCACAGAGGTCAGACGTTTCTTGTAGTTGGCCACCAGGTTTGCACACATCTCAGGAGGGATTTTGTCCCACTCCTCTTTGCAGATCTTCTCCAAGTCATTAAGGTTTCCAGGCTGATGTTTGGCAACTCGAACCTTCAGCTCCCTCCACAGATTTTCTATGGGATTAAGGTCTGGAGACTGGCTAGGCCACTCCAGGACCTTAATGTGCTTCTTCTTGAGCCACTCCTTTGTTGCCTTGGCCGTGTGTTTTGGGTCATTGTCATGCTGGAATACCCATCCACGACGCATTTTCAATGCCCTGGCTGAGGGACGGAGGTTCTCGCCCAAGATTTGATGGTACATGGCCCCGTCCATTGTCCCTTTGATGCGGTGAAGTTGTCCTGTCCCCTTAGCAGAAAAAGACCACCAAAGCATAATGTTTCCACCTCCATGTTTGACGGTGGGGATGGTGTTCTTGGGGCATAGGCAGCATTCCTCCTCCTCCAAACACGGCGAGTTGAGTTGATGCCAAAGAGCTCCATTTTGGTCTCATCTGACCACAACACTTTCACCCAGTTGTCCTCTGAATCATTCAGATGTTCATTGGCAAACTTCAGACGGGCATGTATATGTGCTTTCTTGAGCAGGGGGACTTTGCGGGCGCTGCAGGATTTCAGTTTTTCACGGCGTAGTGTGTTACCAATTGTTTTCTTGGTGACTATGGTCCCAGCTGCCTTGAGATCATTGACAATATCCTCCCGTGTAGTTCTGGGCTGATTCCTCACCGTTCTCATGATCATTGCAACTCCACGAGGTGAGATCTTGCATGTAGCCCCAGGCCAAGGGAGATTGACAGTTCTTTTGTGTTTCTTCCATTTGCGAATAATCGCACAACTGTTGTCACCTTCTCACCAAGCTTCTTGGCAATGGTCTTGTAGCCCATTCCAGCCTTGTGTAGGTCTACAATCTTGTCCCTGACATCCTTGGAGAGCTCTTTGGTCTTGGCCATGGTGGAGAGTTTGGAATCTGATTGATTGCTTCTGTGGATAGGTGTTTTTTATACAGGTAACAAGCTGAGATTAGGAGCACTCCCTTTAAGAGTGTGCTCCTAATCTCAGCTCGTTACCTGTATAAAAGACACCTGGGAGCCAGAAATCTTTTTGATTGAGAGGGGGTCAAATACTTATTTCCATCATTAAAATGCAAATCAATTTATAACATTTTTGACATGCGTTTTTCTGGATTTTCTTGTTGTTATTCTGTCTTTCACTATTCAAATAAACCTATCATTAAAATTATAGAATGATCATTTCTTTGTCAGTGGGCAAACGTACAAAATCAGCAGGGGATCAAATACTTTTTTCCCTCACTGTATTTACCTTATGCTTTGGCTTTGACATATTTTTAATGAAAATGTTGATAAAAGTATAAAAAATAATTACGTGCGGTATTTCATTATACATTTTTAACAAGGAAGAATAACGATACATAACTATTAATTATGTAATGCTGTACAACATGGGTTTGTCCTTCCAAGTATTTCATTCGGCAATAATGACATTGTATTCTAAGCCTCACAATAAGATAGCATTACATGGTGCACAATATCTGAGATGCCTTAGCCACCAAAGATCATTCCTTTGGTGCTTATTTTTAATTTTAGACTGGATTCCTCTAATCTATGTAAATATTATTCTGATAATTGCCAGGTTTTGGGCAACTCTTGGATAAATGTGGCCAATTTGATGCAGGGTCCCCAATAGCAACACAATTTTATGCTAACGTTTTGTTCATATTGGAATATCTTTACACGAGCTATCTACCCCCCCCCCCCTCCTCCTATGGACAGACAGAAATAATGCATTAAAACTTACAACCTTAGTTGGAAAGCCAAAAATAAATCTTGTTTTTTTGTTGTTGTTGAAAGCTCCATTACTTGGGTGACGTCTTGCCCTTGATGTTCTCATAAATTGGAGACTTTTTCACTTCCATCTGCAACCTTACTTTCTTGAGCTGTGAGGCGAGAGGGGTGGTGAAGATCCACAGACGCACAGCATAAAATCCGTGATGAAAGGTAGACTGCAGGACCAACCTTGCAAAAGCAAAAAATGTCTAATGGAGGTGATATTCATGTCAAAGCACTAAACCAGCACGACTGCATCCCAGATTCAAAAATGGACAACCATAACTCATAATTAAAACGAATCATTATTGCTTGTGCCAAACTCTTTGGTTCTTTCGGTTAAGTCACGTAGGTATAAAATAAAACAAATCACGACGTTTCGGGCGCAACACAAGCGTCTGCTGAGGCAGACTCGGATAGATGTGTTGGTGCAATGCACATGGTCTGCTGCTGAGGCAGACGATGCTTTCCCACCTGTCGACAGACGCTTGTGTTGCGCCCTAAACGTCGTGATTTGTTTTATTTTCTAACAACGTGACTTTACCGAAAGAACCAAAGAGTATAGATTCCTGCAGTCACGAAAGCTTCAAATCAAGATTGCTTGTGCCAAGTTTGTGGTTCTCAGCATTTTACCAGGTGAATTATTTATTTTACCAGGTGAGAACCAAATTGAACTCAAAGTTTATTTTGCGAGTGTGACCTGGATCAACAAGTAGCAACCAATACACTAAACAAACTAAAAAAAACCCAGTAATAATAATAGAAAGAGATGAGACAAGGGGATAAGAAGAAAGAAGGAACATTGGCAAATACATTAAATATGTGTTAGACTAAATAAATTGAGCTTACCTGCATAAAACGAATTGGTATATTATCCATGAAGGCTAAAATATATAGGTTTGTAGATCTTAGCTAGATTTATATATAGATGAGGTGAATGTTTCGTGAACTAATCGTTAAAGTTCTTGAAGAGATCAATTAGCATTGGGAGAGAGAGGCATATTAAAGTAACTTTCAGAAGTAGCGCTGTTGTGTTTTCTGGAGCGCTTCCATGACGTGATGTCATGTTGAGTGAACCGAGAGGATTCTCACGATTCCAATAATACGCCTGTGATATGATTACTCTTTGGTTATTTCGGTAAAGTCGCGTAGGTAGAAAAATAAAACAAAAAATAATAAATCACGACATTTCGATAGCAACACAAGCGGTCGTCTTCGGGCGGGAAAAATAATCCAGCAGTGGAACTGCTGAACTAGCGAGAGAGCTGTTACAACAAGAGGTTATTTATGTGGCAATGGGCAAGCAAGCGGGGTCTGAGCTGGAAAGGAATTCCATCCCCGGACGCAAGCACGTCAGTTGTGTTAATGGGGGAGATTAGGGAAAGGGAGATTAGGGAGAGAGAAATGAGCTTCCGTCACCGCATAAGAGTATCATCCCCGCATGTGCGCACAACAGCAGTGTTAATGGGAGATTAGCACTGTTGATGGGAGAGATTAGGCAGGGAGGTTAGGGGGATTAGTAAGTTAATGTCATGTCTATGTGTAACACAAGCTGCGGCGCTGCCAACTGCGCTGTGAGGCAAGCGCGTCCACGCAAGGAAACCATCGTAACGGTGGTCGCGCCAGTGAGACACAAAGCCCATCACACAGCCAGAACCATCGGTACATCGAGGCTAAGGGAACAGAGGTGGCCATGTTCGTGAGACCCCAGCTCGTTAATGCAGAGGCACCCAACAGGGCAATGCGACTCAGAGAGTCGGCGATAACAGCCAAACGGCAGGGAAGAATGGAAGCACCACAGCAAGTTACGACTTTGGTTAATATCATCCTTCCAGTGATTGCTCAGCGTGTACCCATCTTCTCGGTTGAAATTGTCTGTGTTTATATATCTAGATAGCTTCATGGATAAATCTTTGATAGTAGCCCGAAGGTTTGCAGAGTACCTTGGTCTCAGAAAAAACAATATCGTGCGAGTCCGCTGCGTTATAACAATGATCAGCCACAGCAGAGGTATTGGTTCTGCTGTGTTTCAAATCTGCCTTGTGTTCGCTAACACGGTCCGAGACATGTTTCATTTCCCCAATGTAACTGCTGCCGCAGACACAACTTAGTTTGTAGACACCAGGGTATTGCATGTCCGGAATGACATCCTTCACAGATGGGATAAAACGGATTTTGTGTACTGTATTGAATCGGACCTTGATCTTGTGTTTGTTCAAGATTTTGGAAATATTTTTGGTAACACCTGCTATGTATGGCAAGGTGATGGTTTTGATTGGGTCCTCAGATGTTTGTTTCTTCATGGTTGGGGCTACAGCTTTGTGGATTGTGCGGTCTGAGCATCCATTCATCTTGAGGGCTTGGGATACGTGCTACAGTTCACTGGCTAGGTGGCGCTGGTCGGGGATGCAGCGGGCCCTATGGTGTAGTGTTTTGATGAAGGAGTTCTTCTGGGCCGGATGGTGGTGGGAATCAGGCTTTAGATAGGAATCCGCGTGGGTGGTTTTCCTGTAGACGGAATGTCCCAACGAGCCATCAGGCCTCTTCTTGATCAAAACATCCAGGAATGGTAGCTTACCATCATTTTCCACTTCCATGGTGAATTTGATGGATGGGTGTATGGAATTGATGTGGTTGGAAAAAATGGTTCAGTGCTGGCTGGCCATGTGGCCAGATGACGAAAGTGTCATCTACGTATCTCTTCCACAGGGAAGGACGTAGGGTGGATGTCAGGATGGCATCTGTTTCAAATTTCTCCATGAAAACATTCGTTACCACTGGTAATAAGGGAATGTGATATGATTGTAAAGTGAAATTAAAGTCTTGTTTGAATGAGCAACATCGCACCTTCTGACCCTATCCCTTTCCAGAAGCTTCATAAATTGGGACAAATTATGTTTGCCAATTAATTTGGCATACTTCAGCTGATAACAATTAGGATGCTGTTTAATTGGCAATAAAAAATGGTCTCACAACTTAACAGGCACTGTTTATGTAAGTCTTACAGAGTTCTTTGTTGGGTGTAACATTTCTAACTCAATTTTTTTTTTATCAATGCTCAGAATAGGTACATTGACTTACATCTTTCTTCTTTACAGCAGTGGCTATGGCTTGACGTGGGCTTAGTTCTTCTTGAGGGAGGTCGTTCAGATCACTGTACGTTTGCGGAGTGGAAGCATTCAGTGACTGGGTTCACATTCACAAAGGAAAAGACAAACAAACAGTCAGATCCAACCTTTCTTAAAGGAACATATACACGTCATATAATAAAACAGCTCTGATCAAGAGTTATTTTTTTTTCTGTATGCCTGTGCTGTCTGACAAAAGTTTGCACCATGGTTAATGCAAAAGTATAGTTTAAAATTACATTAATTGTACATTTATTTGACGAGTGTTGTCTACTGGACATCTATCAAACCACTGTATTTCTGTGAAAAAGAGCTTTATAGCTCATTATTCCTCCAGTATAAATAAATATTCTGATTCTCTTCTTCCCTCGCACCTCCGATTTAGCATGGTTGGCTGCGTACGGTTTCGGTATCACTCAGTTCAGTAATATGTCATCTTAAATGCCTGAATGACTTGAAATGCTTTTTTTAATCATTAATAAGCCTTCAAACTATTGTAAGAGAGCTGTAGACGCACAACCTAGGTGTCTGACTATAAGGTAAGGTTTGTTTGTATTTTTCACTGCCCCAATAAACATTAGCTTCCTGCATGATGACTCATGTGGGTTGAATGTAGGGAAGTGGGTTTTGTTTGCGGAAGCTAATGTGTGTGCGTGTATGTGTGTGTGCACATACATGCTATGTAGTTATCAAACCGAGTAAAATTTCACATCATGTATACAATTGGTAATTATATTAACCTACCCTGAGTCTCTTCTCCATTATTAAGCACAATGCCACTGTGTCCTATATTATCACAATAATCAGCCATGATCTGTCCATTGCTCCTGAAGACTTCCCCAAGGGATTGTCATCTCGGTTCTGATTCATCTCGCTGCTGCGCATGAGCCGATTTCATCACTTCATCTCCGCAGTGGACATCCTCTCATCATTAGCCTCTACCAACGGCCATCATCCCTTTCAGCGATGTTTCTTGCCCAAGCCCACTTATTCGCAGTCAATATGATATATTTAACTTGTGTATGTTCTATAATCCATATGTTCCTATTCCTTTCACTCATTGTAAATGTAGGCATGCATCTTTGCATGCTTATTTATACACTGTTCAGCTCTTGTTTAATCCTAATTGACAATGGCTGTGTTTATAAGACATGCTATAGCAGACCATTTACATTGTTTCACAACTTTGTATTTTGATTTTTATTATTATTAAGTTTCGTATTCCAAATGCACTAAAATCTGCTCTCATCCCTCTATTTATTTGATTGTCTTGATCCTGGTTCACCATTAATAACTGCCATAGGTACACATTCTGCTGTGTTTTGAGCCCAACTTTGCAGCCTTATTTATTAAGTTCTTCCATTGATGTGGGTCATTTGCATTGGTTATTACAATGACTAGGTCATCAGTAAATCCCAAATGGTTCATTTTCTCCATATATATGTACGCATGTATTGCATCTCAACAGAAATATAGCTGGAAAGAGTAGGCAGTAACGCATCGTGTACATGGATAAGCTGTTGAATATTGACATGTTTAAATATGTCAGAGCCAATAGTGAGATTAAGTACAATAATGTACAGTAGGGATAGCAAAATTAAAATGTGGTGTCTCGTGAAGTTAATACAGGCATTGCCAAGGTGGTCAGTTAGCTTAGAGAGCTCATAATGACTCTTAAATGTCTGAGAAAAGGGCATTGAGATTTTGGGTTTGAATATGGGTGAACACTTTTTTATATGAATCCAGTTTGTGTGGGGTAATGGTTTAATTGTCTTAGCACAGGTATTGCATGTCCGGAATGACATCCTTAACAGATGGGGTAAAATCACGGATTTTGTGTACTGTATTGAATCGGACCTGGATCTTGTGTTTGTTTAAGATTTTGGAAATATTTTTGGTAACACCTGCTATGTATGGCAAGGTGATGGTTTTGATTGGGTCCTCAGATGGTTGTCTCCCCATGGTTGGGGCTACAGCTTTGGGGATTGTGCGGTCTGAGTATCCATTCATCGTGAGGGCTTGGTGTACGTGCTACAGTTCACTGGCTAGGTGGCGCTGGTCGGAGATGCAGCGGGCCCTATGGTGGAGTGTTGTGACAAGGGAGTTCTTCTGGGCCGGATGGTGGTGGAAATCAGGCTTTAGATAGGAATACGTGTGGGTGGTTTTCCTGTTGACGGAATGTCCCAACGAGCCATAGTTACCAATGACTTCACTAATACCCAACGTATATGTTGTCTTTCACTTAATTTGGCATATTCTTTATTTGAAACTTTGGTTTGATTGAAATGTGATAAACAATTTTTGCAAGGATTTCAAATGTAATTCTAGTGTGGATAAAGAGGTCTACTGAAGTAACTTAAGATGTATGTGGTTATATTCTTGGTTCTTTCGGTAAAGTCACGTAGAAGGGAAACAATAAAATAATAAAAATATAAAATAAAATTATCACGACGTTTCGACTGCAACACAAGCAATCATCATCAGGTGTGAAAACCACAGCAAGAAAATTTGCTGTGGTTTTCGCACCTGATGATGAGCAAGAAAATTTGCTGTGGTTTTCACACCTGATGATGATTGCTTGTGTTGCAGTCGAAACGTCGTGATAATTTTATTGTTTTATATTTTTATTATTTTATTGTTTCCCTTCTACATAACTTTACCGAAAGAACCAAGAATATGAATCCCTGCAGTCACGCAACCTTTAAATCAAAATGTATGTAGTTACACAATGTCATCTTAGGAGGCCGCTCTCTGTCACAGGGTGATACTAAGCTGCAGAGTTCCGAATTAAATCTCTTAATCACATGACATGATGACAATTTGAAATGTTTTACATGGTTTAAACCATTCTTTACAAATCACAAAGCATCACTTTCTAGCGCTGAGTAAGATCAATCTATTGATGAACATAGTAGTTATGTGTTATCATCTTTCTTGGCTGTTCTCACATGAAGTAATATTGTGCTGTGTGAGAAACTAAAACAGTCAATTGAGGATATTTTTGTAATTGCACAAACAGACTAAGAATAATAAAACAATTCTCTACAGCCCTTCATCGAACCACTGCGAGATAAAGACCTCCCCAAAACGTGTGGGTAATTTTAGATTTAACTACCACTGATGTTGGCCATGGTCGGGAATCAAATTCAGGTCTCAAGCTTCATTTTTCATAATAATTTCAGCTCGTGACATGCAAAGTAATCGCTCACTCTCAAAGAGAGAGACCAACTGAGAGGCGAGAGGCACCACAAACAAGTAGGAAGGTAGTCATGCGATGAGCTGGTGCCAACAATTGCCCAAGCTCTGTGGTCCTCTATATACGAAGGTGCTATCAGCAAATTCATGAGTTTACATGTGGCAGGAAACTTGAGCACCTGGAGGAAAACCCACGCATGCGAAGGAGAAGCACTCTATCCCATACAGACAAAGCAGATGGATTCCACATGTTTGCTGTACCACCTTCTAGCGAGTGAGGGCATGGTTCCTCCTCGAGACCCAGGGGAAGGGAATGTCACAACAGCCGTCGCCTCCACAGTGCTGGATAACAAGCGTGCACCACCGTCACCCGGCGGTACATTAACCACTGTGCCTTCATATTACCCCCAAATAGATTATATTTGGTGCTAATTGATAAACTCCAATTTAACATTATAAACCAGATAAAAAAATATATATATATCATGCACACACATGTATTTGGCCTCAGCAGTTAGAATCTTTATCAGAATCTTAAGTTCGGCTGGAGGAATCCGATGAGCTATGAAGTTATTTTTCACAGATGTCCAGCAGTATTTACTTCGCAGGAGGAAACTGCCGAGTGGCTGTAAGGGAAATATTGGCATGCATACTGGCAAATAGTCCCTATTGGTCAGGTTTGTCTCCAAGACTTGGCAAACCTTTTTGATCAAATTGGCTGGTTTTATATAGAGTAAGTTCCTACCAATTCGCTACTGTTTGGTTGATAATAGATGATATTGATTGGAGTTGTCGTGTCTGCCTTTGGACAGATGGACAGACAGACGTTAATGCGTAAAAAAATGGTTGTGACATTTGAGTGGGTTTGGTGGGTTTTGATTGTGCAGGAGCCTCACCGTATATGTGTGCGGAGTGTCAATCTCTGTTGAACTTGAGGGGGGAAAAGCTTCAGGAGCTGGCTGAGCAATCCGCAACGGCAATCGAACCTGTCGGATGTTGGCACAATAATGCATTTAAGAATTACAAAAAAAATTATTCTGACATCCATTCATGTATATAATTGTACAACCAATGTAATATGAGTGAATGTATATTATTGGATGCCTATAAGTTTTCTCTTCCACTGTTACTGTAGTGTCTGTGATGTCATATCCTTAAAAATATTATTGAAACTTATATTTTTCTGATTCACCATGCAGATATTGTATCAGAGCTGGTAAATAATACATTTGCAGAAAAACACCACTGACACACATAGGCATTTCCATGCAGTAACTCGTCACTTTCATGATAGCACGAAGGTGAAATCACTCCCACTCGGTGAATGTTTTGTCAGTAATAAAACAATGTTTGCTTCAAAAATATATCATCTTAATTTCAGCCAATCATAAAGCCCAGGGATGGATTGACAGATGGTGGAACAGACAACTGATTATTATTATACTCGTTCCCTGAGATCTTTAGTGTGGTCAGTGTTTTGGTGCTGTGAGGCGGATACCTTGAGCCAGAGAGCTATAGTCAGGGTAGTAGTGGCCAGGCTGTACACCAGTAACACCACAACAAGCACGATCAGAATGACGTATTCCCCCGAGTCATCATCATCTTCCCGTTTGCTTGCTGGTATTGAAGAAACAAATACACACATTTCTAAATTCAAAATGAGTATTTTCCCAGTAAAGCCTCACTGAGTATTAGGACTTGTCCTGGAGGATCCTGCGTTGAGATGTTTAGATAATTCCTTATTTAGTTTTTTTTTACTTGGACAATTTCTCATATATTCTTCCGGTATTTCGGTAAAGTCACGTAGATCGGTTCAAATTAATAAAAAATAAACATAAAATAAACAAACTACGACGTTTCGATCACAACACAAGTGACCGTCATCAGGAGGGAAAAAGAGGGGCAGGGTGTAGTCCAACGGTCATAAACAAAGTGGGCGGGGCTAGTGATGTTAATGTGAGAGATTAGCATGTTAATGTAAGAACGCAGAACCGCCGCCACGTCGAGGTTGGCACGCCGAGGTGGCCATGTTGGCGCGAGAAATTCCGCCTCTACGGGGAGGGTTTCCACTTAACTATAAGATCTTTTCCCGTGGCTTCGACTCTCCGATTTTACATTAACAGGTTGAATTTATCGCGCCAACGTGGCCCCCTCCGCGCGCCAACCTCGAATAGGAATTCCTGCAGTCACGAAAGCTTTAAGTAAAAATGTCTTATATGTTGCTGCATTCAGTTTAGGGGGCATTTTGAGGAAAGTATTTTGAGTTAACCGGTAATTAAAGGTGATACATATAAATGTCAGTTAATTTTGTACGTTAAATTGATACATAAATATATATTTATATGTGTTACGTAATTTCCCGTAACTATGTTTCATCGCAATGTTTTTTTTATAATAGTTTCCACCTAGATATAATGAACATAGTCAGTCCTATTCTGATGAGTTCAATGTGTTTGTAGGCATCAAAAACATGGTATTAGATGCAAATATCATGGCTTTATCTCTCTGTTATGGTCCTTTGAAGTTTTGCATAGTGGCCATTTTGTTGTCTGGCAATTTCAGTCATAAAACATCAAAATCGAGCATGGAAAACAATATTCGGTTTTGACATAGAAATTGCCTCATTATCACATTTCTTGAGGATTGTCTGAGTCTATCTCCATCAATATGAATTACCAGATGAACCTCGTCGTAACACACCGTTATTTTACTCACGTTGAGCTATGAAAACTAAAATATTGCCCACGAGTTGTTGCATTGTTTGGAACAATTTATAGATTGATTAAAATGTATTATTTTGCATCAACTTGTGAATGCAAGAATTTATTATCAACACAATGTTGCTTATGGTTCGAGAAACATTTTCAGCCACTAAACGAGTTAAAAAATAATGTTGACCCTGGGTTAGAAGAATGTGTTGAATATAATATGGACTGAATTAGTGAAGAAAAAAATAATAATTTGACCAAATACCAAACCGACTTTCTCTTTTTAGACTAACATTGTTGGGAAGTTGGTGCGATTTCCAATAGCAGATACCGTTTCAGGGCTGGTGGGGTATAAGAAAGCAATCATTGTTGTTATCTTGACGTAAACTGGACATCAACTCACCTCTCACTAATAGCTTTGTGTCATCACCATGTGCCATGACCGTCTTCCCGTCAGGTGCGTACAGCGTGAAGGTATAGATGCCCTCGTGCTCAATGGCCACTCGTTGCAGGACTAACGTACAACTACTGTCTGAGGTGGCGTTCGGTATTTTCGCCACATCCTTGTAGTTTTGGCCCCATCTGACAGTGCGGTGTTCGCGCTGGTAGTCCAGGACAAGGTCTTTTTTGGAGTTTTTGGTGTTCTGCTTGCGTTCCCACAACATGGAGCCCGCATTTTTGAAATTCACACTATTGTTTGATTTATCAAGAACATAAGAGCAAGCGATCTCCGTGTGCTCGCCCTCCATTGCCAGTACGCACGTGTCAGGTTGGGTCACATGGAGGCAGAATGTTCCTGCAACAAGGGTGAATGTGAAAGGTCAGGCAGCTCCATGCAACGGTTTTTTTTTGCATCTTTAATTATTATGACATTTCAGCACTTGCGTTCCTCAAATTCTTGTCTGCATGCTTAATGAGCCAGGAGGCTTTGTGGGTTTGCCCCCCCCCCCCCCCCGTTCCTTTGACCTCTACCCCTTTGTTATCACAATGGCCTTGGGTGGGAGTTGGGAAGCGTTCTTTGAAAATATTTGTCGTGAACAAAGTTTCACCTAATCAGTCGTAAGTTTATACTCGAGTTGTTAAACAACCGGTAAAGCCGTAACTTTATCGATTACCTTTTCCAAAACTCAGGAGACAGTAACCATGTCACGTGGAATGTTTGGAATGAATGTACCATTGGCAAGTATAAACATACAATCAACATGGTGCGTGCGAGTCTGATTGGCCAGCGGCAGCCATCTTACGGCACCTATGCCTGAGGCAGCCAAGTTAAGGCCCTGTCTGATGTGTTTGTTTCTCATGAATGAAAGGTTAAAGGAGGTGCAACTCTGCAATTACTTGCTTGCTTGCTGGCAGAAGGGCTACTCAGATCTCCAGAGGATACCTGTTCTGCTCTTCCATGCCTACCAGACCAGACGTGTTGGAAGGGGTGGGTGTATCCACACTTCACCCCACCACAAAAAAAACGCGTCAATCCACGAACTGTGGATTTTCTAATTATCCTGTCTGGTGGACAGAGGCGAGGAAATTCAAAGGAGCTTGCCGCATCGTTTTAACATCGTTGCTGGGTGACCGAATCGAATCGCTATCTCTGGGATTGCAAGTAAAAGTGTGCTAACAGTTACATCACATTAAAGATGACAGATATAACACACGTAAATATGCATGATTGTACATTCACGTAAATTATAATGCATTATTGTGTGTAAAGCAAACCGGAAACAATTTTTTTTACCGGCTATTGCAATGTGATATCCCGTAAGTAAATAAAAATGGTTTTAACAACCCTAGTTTATACTTTGCAGAACTCATGTTATGATATGGAGGACCAATATTCTGAATCCTATCATCAATGGAGTTATCTGTGATATTACTCCACTTGTCTCCGGGGTAAATATCGAGGGTAATCGGATGAATATGCAGCACAACTCCTCATCAACAAAAATAGCAGATAATATTTTTTTAAGCACAATAATAATGGAGTGGCAGCCATAGAATGGAATGCGTTCGTGAGGACTTGCACGAAGAGATGGAGTGATGAAATCAGTTTATGTGTAGATACCTTAATAGGTGATCGCTAATATCACTTGTCCTAGCAGCCTTTGCAGGCTACACAGCGGATTTTTGTCTCTGTGAGTGTATAAGTGTGTGTGTGTGTATCCATGTGTAATGACTAGTGCGCTGCACTACGAACCCGGCCACCCGAGTTCGATTCGCGCTCATGGCCAACACCAGTGATGATTATCTAAACCGTTCCTGAACCTTCCCTAGGTCTACTCAATCTCAAATGAGTACCTGGTGCAGTGTGTAAAAATCATTGCCACTGGGGAGATAAAGGTGGCTGGGTGTGGTTGCTGGCCACCCACTCCCTCATATTCCGTTCCAGCCTTCATAGGTGCTCGCAAACAGCTCTTGCCCCAACAGTCTGTTCGGGCTATATGGGGGATCTTTGTCTTTTGCCACTAACACAGTACACATGTTGAGAGACTAGTGCACTATAGATATCAGAGGCATACATACAGATACAAGACGAAGACAAAGATCCCCCCGTATAGACATAACAGACTTCAGTGTCGAGTGCTGTTAGTGAGCAACGTATTAATGCCGACAAGGCACACGGGAGGGTTTTGTTGCCAACGTCACACCCGACCGCCTTTGTCTTCCCTGTGCTGGCGTTTACATACGGCACTAGGTGTTCACTTAAACCCTTGATGGAGCCAACTCCAACCGGGGAGCTGAATTGGTAAGTTCTGATTGTAAGTCATTGTTAGTCAATCACTCTAGCCACAGCTGCAACTAGCTAAATAGAAACAGTATTACTGTGCTCGTGAGTAGGTACCTGGCAGGTAGATCGCATGGAGCATGAGGACGAAGGTGATGGAAGATCGTGCCCGTGCTCCCATCATTGTAGCCGAGTTGAAGTTGTCTCTGATGATCCAGTGTAACCAGTGTGGCTGTGTTGGGCCCACTGCTGTGAGAGTCATACAGCTCGCGTGACGGAAGGTGTTGTGCAAGTGTTTTTGTGGTAACAAATAGAGGAACCAGCTCCTGTAACTTCCATGCTAAACGTACAACGTATTTTTCAGGATTAAACAAGTGGGAAAAACTGTTTTGCGCATGCACATGTGTGTTAGATATTACCGTCACCTAGTGGGGGAATGGTGGCAGAGTGGTTGCTCACCGGCCTATAAACCAGTACGAATATAGATGCTTGCTAACAGCACTTGCCCTTATGGTCTGTCTATAAAACTAAACAAGGGATATTTGTCTAGACGATGTAGTAAGGGCAATACGGTTTTTACTCAAGTAGGCATGTAATTGATTCGTGATTACAATTGTTGCGCTCATTTATTTAATTATTGTTTAATTACCATTTATGAAAATTACATTCAGTTCCCTGTAGGCTAATGGAATGGATAAGTTAGCACAATTTAGAAAGTATTCGAGACGAATACAAATGGGATGGTACAAATTAAATGTAAAATAACTGAACATGACCCTTAGTTATGACAATTCATACAATTCTTCAGGAGTGCCAGCCAGTTACATTGTGTAACTCGTTTTTTAATTTCTCTTCAACACATACAACCCGCATCACTTACCAATTTCCGGGAATTGCTCCGTTCAAGCGCCCCAAACTCCCCTTTCCAGATGCTTTTATCCTCTTCTCCATACTTCTTGAACTTTGTCGTTCCACCAATCCCTTAGTTTCCCAAATGGGCCTTCCTACTGACCACTCATTTACATTTCACCTTTATTGGGATTTCCAAATGAATCCCTCCGCCAATATGATTTGAGTATTTCACCACCCTCCAATCTGACTGTGCTCAATACGTCAGGCCTGCACATGACAGAACGCCAATGGGAATTGAGCACCTACTTTCAACTAATCAACTACTCACCAAGTCTAATGACTAACGACTTGGTCTAACGACTTGGTGAGTTGATTGCTTATTTATTTACATCATTGGGTTTGCCTCTCAGGCGTCTCTTACACAATCATAGATGGTGTGAATCGTGAAATAAACACTGATTAGTACCGGCGAGAATCCTGGATTAGCCATCTACTTTAGATGATAAGATTTTCAAGTGTATTGAGTTCATGATCTCAGTTCATTTACAAATGCACTGTATGAATTACATGCAGCAAAGAACTTGTTTGCAAAGTAGGAAGGAGGCCTGTCTATTGTTGAGTAAGAAATGTTTCCGGAAGTGACTGCAAATGTAATGTGTCAAGGAGGTCCACACGTCCGTTGCTTGAGAGGTACTTTGTTGTTCCAACAGTTCTTCACACCAGGCGTGCGCTCGTTTTCCAAACCGTTCTGCCGCACGTCTCTCTCTTGCGCAAGGGAGGGGGGGGTTACCCAGAGGTGGGCAGGTGGAGATGCTGGCCATGGGGGAAACCACCGTTCTACGACGGTTACTTCCGCTGGTATACTATAATTGGACATACAAATCATTGTTGATGTCATCTGTCACCTGCTTGAACACAGTGAAGGTTGGCATGGTCGTAATGGTCAGTGTCGTTTATGCCACCGCACTTGACCATCGCTTCCTTCTACCAAAAACTTAAAATACTTGTCAATAACGTTGCCTTAATAGGACGATTATATCATGGAAGACAACATATGTGAAACTTCCTTCTGCTAGATGACTGCTATTTCACAATTAACACCTAATCCTCCATGGTTTGCCCATAAGACAATGACACTTTTATTTTGAACTAAACTTGGGTTCACTTTCACAAGGCTGGATGGAGGCTTCAATCACTTAAGTCCTTTGATACATTATATTTCGTCATCAGGCCTAGCTGTTGCAGAGGGAACGCACAGATTGTAGTCCACAATGGCGATGTTAAGCCAGTGACACATCATATCTGGCCACAGGCATGGTTGCACTCGTTTATGTGTCTAGCCAATCAAGAAGCTCGTGACGCCAACCACAACTCAACCCTGAATGCCTTCCCGTTGCAGTGGGGAAGTGAACGCAGTGTCATAATGTGCGTGGGCACAATGTGGTTTGGCTGATGAAACTTCGTTAGATAAGTACTCTTTACAAGCCAGCTTAAAATGTTGTAGTCATTGTTTTCATGTGCATACAGTTTCTGAATTTAATTGCATGTGGAGCGGTGGTACAGTGGTTTGCACACGTGCGGGCATGACCCTGGAGGAAGAGGGTGTGTTTGTATGCGCTGCGTGACGAACCTGGCGACGCGAATTCGATTTCCCGCTCACGGCCAACACCAGTGACGATTATCTGAACTGCTCTTGGGCCTCCCCGAGGTCGACTCGGCTTCAAATGAGTACCTGGTGCGGTGTGTAAACATCGTCACTAGGGAGACAAATGCGGCCAAGCGTGGTGCTGGCCCTCAGGTACTCGCCAACAGCACTTTCCCCAACAGTCTGTTAAGGCTACACGGGGGATGTTTGTGTATCTGTGTGTGTGTGCACAGGTGGGCGATGGGAACAGCCAAGTGAGTGCGTGCCAGTGCATGGGGATTCGTGGGAAGAGCAGCTCAACAGCCTTGTGATCGATGTCCTTGAGCCGAACGGCTTTCAGGTTTGGCCCCAGCACCAATCTTAACCCTGCTTGGTACCACTGCATCATCATTACTTAAAGTATGGAACAACGCAAATAACAATTTGGTGCTACATTATTCATCAAGGCAATATCATTACATGACATTGCAGCAGTTGAAGTCTGCTAATTTAAATAAAAATATTTTCACCTTTCCAATCCAAGCTCCTGTTATCCCCCCAGTGTCCACTTAGATACTCCCTCTGCCACACGTATGATATGTATGATGTGGTGCATGTAAGAGAGTCTTTAGCACACTGCGCTATGCACCCGGCAGCCCGAGTTTGATTCTCACTCATTGCCAACATCATTGATGAACATATTAACCGGCCCTGGGCCTATCCTAGATCGACTCAGCCTTAATAGTCCCTGGTGCGGTGTGTAAACATCAGTAGTATTGGAGAGATGAAGATGGCCGGGTGTGGTGCTGGCCACCCACTCCTTCGTTACACCCTTTTCATATTTTATTCCACTTGAATATTTGATCTGGCGGCAGTGTGTTAAACTTTATTACAGTATACTGTACATTTTGTATCGACTTAAGCCGACTGATAAATATATCCAGGTTTGCTCTGTGGAAAAGGTGACAACCCTAGCCCTGTCTAAGGTGTATTTAACAGTCAAATTGTGTTTTTAACGTACAGTATGTATATTCTTTAACCCACGTTCTCTTCCTCTCGGCGGTGTAATTCTAAGTATACATCGCTCCATGATTCGTTGCACACTTTTTGTATTTTGTTCCATTTTCTTTGTCAGTTTTCATGTCGACAATGCACGTGCCATCGCTGGCAGTGTACACTGATTGTTAATGTTCTTCAGGTACATCGGTACACCAAATGACGTGGTGGTGATGGTGGTGGTTGTTTGTTGTTCTACTGTACGAAGGTGGAGAGCTTCACACGTGTGCCGTACCTATGCGAAGGGGACCTCTACAATGACCACTATGTTCTGGATGATGCTGTGCTGGTGCTGAAGCCTGTTTGATACAACAGATGTCACCAGATACCAGGACACACACATATATAAAGTACCTATGTGGAGACTTGTATACACGTGCTCATGTGCTGTTTCAAGCATAAATGCTGGTATTAATATGCTTGACTTGTCTTCCTTATTCCTAAATTTAAACTCTGTATTTTCATTGACTAGAACTGGAATGTACAGTAATAAGGTCAGATGCTTTGTCTCCAAATACATCTGATACAACTTTAAAATAAGAGAGTATGGGATTGCATTGGCAGGGATGTAAAAGCACAAATCGCAAAACTTTCAACGCAAGTGAACATGGACACTAATATCTACTACTATCAATAGCAGTAGATAGTAGTGTCCTACTACTATCGTAGTAGTACACTACTATCTATCTGCCGACTCTGTTGTGAAGAAATGCTACTATCTGAAATAAGTCTGCTATATTTTTAGTCTATGGCTTTGTTAAACACAAAAGAGGTGAAATGTTTTAATTAGTTACTGAAAGGTTGCCAGGTGGCACAGAGTGCTTGGTGTCCATGTTAGAGCACTGAGCGAGCAATTCTAAGTCACGTGTAATTCAACCAAATTCACATTTAAAGTGAGCTAATGGTGTTATGGTAGTGATCCAGGTGGCGTGCAGATTGCAGAGCCACACCGTGTTCAGTGCGAGTCGTTTTGACTGCAGTACTATAACATTGTGATAAGCATGTGATTCTGCCCCCTGGCTGCGGGAAGTGAATAACACAAATTGTAACTTCAGAGTCATCTTGGAAAGGTCAGTGCATTACTTAGAAATGGAATCAGAATCGGTGGAAACCTCCCAGCCAATGGGAAACATGGCTATGCCTGTCTGTATAAGGCAGTATAGAAAATAAGTTTATTTTTTAACGATGTTGTTGTTGCCGCCCTTGTTTGTGGGCTTACTCCAGGCACTCCTTTTTTTCCCCATTGGCCAAAAACAGGATAAAAATGTAATAGGCCAAACTTCTGAAAAGTTATCAAAGTTTCGGGAATGTGAGCTTTATTTATGCAGGAGGATTAATTATAATGTTGTAGACAATAAGATATATTACTTACACTAAATAGTAATAACATAAATCTTATGGAAAAATGGCTCAGGAAATTTGTATTGCATGCATACAAGATATGTGATGAGGAATTTACATTTTTCTACAGAACTTTGTATGCTTTTCTAAAATGGTGAAGAAAGTTCAAATTCCATTTGGCAAATGTGTCCAAACATTAAGATGACAGAAGTCCTTCTACGAAACAACAATGCCAGACCGCCACACAAGAGCCTGAAGAACAGAGACCATTGGAACGTTCAAGTGGACTGTGTTGCCCGATCTACCGTATACCCCAGATCTGGAATAAAATGTCTACAGTCAAACATTGGCGTCTGTTTCACATTCGCAAGTGCATAGAAAGATTACAGATTATGTTAAATAATCCAAGTTAAAACTATCGATGTCAGTTCAGAGACAACTTCCAGATGAATGTGTTTACAATCACCAAATGTACTTCGGGAAGGGGTGGCAGAACATTTCACGACAAAGAATTAGTAAAATGTGGAGGAATAACGTTTTAAGTATTTTGAATGAAAATAACAATTGTAGTGCAGTGGTGGTCACTGATAAACTCTCCATGTTGTAACAAAAGTGGATGTTGTAATAACTTCCCAGACATCTTGAAGGAAGAAATGATTTGACATTGTGGCATAAAAATTTTGATTTAAAGCTTTCGTGACTGCAGGGATTCATATTCTTGGTTCTTTCGGTAAAGTCACGTAGAAGGGAAACAATAAAATAATACAAATATAAAAAACAATAAAATTATCACGACGTTTCGACTGCAACCCAAGCAATCATCATCAGGTGTGAAAACCAAAGGAAGAAAATTTGAAATTGTATTGTGGTTTCACACCTGATGATGATTGCTGATGAAATTTCAAATTTTCTTGCTGTGGTTTTCACACCTGATGATGATTGCTTGTGTTGCAGTCGAAACGTCGTGAGAATTTTATTGTTTTTATATTTTTATTATTTTATTGTTTCCCTTCTACGTGACTTTACCGAAAGAACCGATAATATTGTGGCATTAGTGGGCTTTTTGATATCGGGTGTTTCCTTGAAAAATGCATTAAAGCACTAAATGACAATCTCTTACTCTTTGCTTCTTTCGGTAAAGTCACGTAGGTAGAAAAAAAAATACATCACGACGTTTCTAACGCAACACAAGCAATCGTCTTCAGGTGAAAAATCTCTTGATTAAATAATGTACGGTATTCTGCATAACTTAGTTGTCCATACTTGTCACCAGGCCACTTTGAAAGATAACTGTTTGGTTGAAGGGCGTCATTTTTAATCACTTGCACATCAGTGCATGTCAGTGTGATTATTGTGAGAGAGAAAAAAATGGGAGTATTAAAAAAAGAACATTTAAATTGACTGGAACTTGTTTTTTATTTATTAAATGCCTAATGATGAAGCATACCATCAAATTGTGCTCCCATATGCAAACTAAACCTCAAAGACCGATTTTAACTGTGCTTTTCATGCGAGTGGAGGAATTAAGTTTCCATTTGATGCTGCTGTATGTTTGTTGATAATACTCAACCAACCAGCGAATAAAAAAAAACGTGCTTTGTGTCGCCGGTCTTCCCCGTCCCCTCCTCCCCTCGTGAAGCCTTGCCGGCGGGGACAGGTAGGCTGCAATAGCCAACAACAACACTAATTAAGTTTTGGGACGATGAGTAGAGACTGCATTGTGTTCTGTCGTCCGGGGAAGTGGGCGACTCCACAACAGCTAAGCACCAGGGGGAGTTTGTGAAACGGCTAAACTTTTACTTCAAAAGTGGTCTTCAGAAGGGCAATTCCGTACCTGCAATAGTGATCGGAGATACCCTCCACATTCACGACACCCCAGCTCAATTCCTCACCATAAAGTTCGCCCCAAATCCAAATTGGGGATGTGCCTCGTGCTTTACCGTGCACGTGTGGTTCTGGGTCCAGTCCCTGATCACCATTGCCTTCTCTTAAGTAATAAAAAAACACACCTGGCTAACCGGTAGCAACTAGCAGTGTGCACGATTATACGCGTGATTCGCCACAGGCGAGACACCGGCTACATTTGTAACATTCGTTATCGGCAATGATTAATCTGTTCCCAATAAAAGCCTTTCCAAGTTGCAACCATCCTCCCATGATCCTGCACACGAGCTCATTTTCATGTCCACGGTGGACGTCATTCTTCTCGACCACCAATGCCATCATCGCTTCAAGCAACGTGTCCTGGCCAAGCCCACTTTAATTTCTTAAACGGTCAATATGATATGATATTAACCTAATCCACGTGTTAATATTTCCGACTCATTGTCATGCCTACTGTGCATATTCTCAATGGTTATTTGCAATCGTTCCATTTTCATCTCATCATCCATATGTCTTAAGAGGCAAAACACGTTATTTTGAAAATATACTTCCGAGCGCAAAGGCATGTTGGAAGGCGTTACATAATCCATAATTGTGCGTGATTTTTCTTCCTTTTAAATACATGCTGGTGGGCTCCCTAATAGAGGTAAGAGAATGTCACGATCATGAGACTTGGATTAGTGCAAAAAAATAAAATTATGACAACTCCAAATTGTAGCGTGCTGTTTCGATAACGCCATTTGTCTATCTAGGGATCGGCAAAAAACATTAATACATTGGTAACATCGAAGTTTTGATTCCAATAGATTGATGCTTTGGCATCGACAATGATCTCTCCGACAACAGAACATAGACGTTTTCCTTTCAATGTTTGGTTTTCAATGTTGGGGTTTTCACACTGAAAAAGAGGCCGTACTTTATATTTAAAAAATCTTTGATGGAAAAAAAAGCTGGTTCGTCTCCGAACGGCGTTGACAACGTGTATGTACTGTAGAGATATTCCAAGTTCATATTATTTTCTGGAGCGAAAAAAAAACAATAAAAAATCCCCATAATTATCATTAAATATGCATCGATGTGTATTTTTAATACGATTATTCAAAATATTGTTTTAATTTCAATATCCCATAGATTTTCTCATTATTATCGAGACGGTGGCCGGGTGGGTTTGTGCCAGCTTGCGAGGCACACGAATGTGGGTTCGAATCCAGCAACATTTTTTCATGTTTTTTTTGCAATTAACAGTCCAGTGTAAACTTTTTTTATTGCAAACAATTAGGATCGTTAAATAACCAGTGGACTTTTACTCAGGCGACCTGGGTTCAAATGTGGCCTTTTAATGTATACAGTACATATATTTTAATTATACAACTTACATAATGATGGATGCGGAACAACACACGACACTTCAAACAAGGTGCGTGGTTTACAGTTAAGTGCATAATGTGGATGTACCAACATGTACGTGTCTCTGCACAAATAACAGGTGCAGTTACAGAGATCACAGGATTAAAGCGACAAGGAGGAGGAACGTGGATAACAACGAGACATTAAAAGATGTAGATTCTATTTGCAAAATGATAACCAAAACTTTTGTCACCACGAGGGGGCGCTGTTTAATTATATATTTTTCTGTTTAAGCAGAATTTAAAGTTTACACTGGTTTGCCAACACATTTTAGCTGTAAGCCATGGTTTTACCCCAAATCAAAGCGAAACTAACCACCGAGACATAAAAAGCACAATAAGAACGGTAAATTGGTCACTTTGTGCAATATCTTCATCAAACAAAGTTTTGAGAGCAATTGCAAAGTTAAATATTAATTCAGGAATGATCGCACAGTCAGTACTTAGTTTCACAGTGATTTTACGAAAAATAATACCTTGCAGCACAAATACATTGGTAAATCAATATATGTGCTTCTAAATCACCATTGTAAAGAGGCAAATAGTGATATGGTTATGCTTTAAACCTGACAATAGTAAGATTTATATTTTGCTCTGTAGTTCTGGAAGGTTTCAGTCATGTAATATATGGCATTTCTGAAGAAAATACACGTCCTCCTGGAGGAAGAGTGGACATTGCAGCGTTATGTCTTGCCTGCTATCGCCCCAGATCCCCTCTCAAATGCAAAGATGCCACAGCTTACCTAATTTGACTGCTTATTGTTTTTTGGCATCTGGCATATCCCTAACCAACAATGAGTAAGCGTTTACGCTCCATCAGGTCGAGAAACCTATCGGCACTGAGGGTCAGAGGAAAACACTGAAAGGCCTTATTTGAGAGGGAACATCCTCTTGAAATGTGTCAATTGAGACATCATTTAGTGACAGCTCTTTATTGAATATTGATTTAAAGCTTTCGTGACTGCAGTGATTCATATTCTTGGTTCTTTCGTAAAGTCACGTAGAAGGAAAACAACAAAATAATAAAATATATAAAACAATAAAATTCTCACGACGTTTCGACTGCAACACAAGCAGTCATCATCAGGTGTGAAAACCAACGGCAAGAACATTTGGTTTTCACACCTGATGACGACTGCTTGTGTTGCAGTCGAAACGTCGTGAGAATTTTATTGTTTTATATATTTTATTATTTTGTTTCCCTTCAACGTGACTTTACCGAAAGAACCAAGAATATAGCTGTTTATTGCTTCTGAGCCAGCTCATCCAGATTTCTTTGCCATCGATTATTCTGCTTCCTTACCCTCAACTTGCTCTGCCCAGTGATAAGCGTCCTTATCCTTCTGTCCGTGCCTCCCACGTTCTGGCAGCAGGTGCTTCCCGGCACTCCCTGTCATGTCGAAGGGCCTCCTCGGTGACTGTCGCAACCCCCTTTCCGAGTTTACATTTCCAATTTCTTACATTGACATGCCACCCCCACAGCATCGCTTGTCAAGATTTCGCTGACGCAAATTAAATCTCTAGCCCCGCCCACTGACCTTTGGGCCAGACCCATCTCAAACCTTTATAACTTCGCAGCGCTCCCACCATAATTCTATTCTCTCCCGCTACATCTTTCACCTGATGACGATCGAAACGTGATATTGTGATTTGTTCTATAGACGTGGCTTTGCCTAAAGACCCAAGGAATATAGTGTAATCTCATTTTCGTTTAACTTTCGGGGGATAGCGCGAACGCAGTCCCCCAGTACCACAAATTATACAGTCGAGTTTCCCGCATTTGGGGAAATCGCAGGGGTCAACCCACCCGCAGTGCAATGGATGAGCCTCGCCCTGGGAGGACCACCTAAGTGATCATGGTGCCTCCCCTGTCAGGTAAGTATGAGTTGGGTTGCTCCCACTATCCCTATATGACCCAGAATCCTGTACCTTTACTCTATGGGCCCTCGTAAAAAATTTAAGTGGTGATAATTGAAATCTTGAAATATGTCAAATTATTAAACACTGTCATTATACAATAATAATAAAATGTTATTCAAACATACACTAGTTTGAAAAGGTAACATTTATGTTAACTGAAAGCAGTTTACGAATGTAATCTATGAAGGCATTCTGGGAACTGTTGGTTCGAGTAGAGTTGCCATTTTAGAGGTTTTAGCTTCGGTTACGGAACTAATTATATATTTTTTGTTATATCCCACAACTATAACAAGGGAACATTCTTATTACCATAACCATCATAAACCGATAGAACTCATAGCCATTGACAGCAAACTTTCAGGCTTCGCTATGAATTCACATGTCCGCAATGGCCATTTCACCCACGATGCGCCCGTCAGAGAAGCAGGGTGACCAGCAGAGGGCAGTGCATCGCGATTGTTGGACTGTGTGCACAAAGAA